CTATTTTTATGATGGGCGTTGTTACAATGCAGCTTTACAGAAATCCAGGTCCAAGCCCAAATGAACAAGCCAAGTGCAACACTGCCAAGAAAAAACTCCCTAAGGGCAAGAGGAAGACACCTCAAGAGGAGCCAAGCCTCAAAAGGGAACCCATCCTTCTCTGGTTGACATCACATAGCAAAACAATAATACTGAATAAAGAACGGAAATGAGCCTGTCAATGGACAGAGGTATTTAGGTTAACCAATGACACCCAATGACAGAAGTATTTAAATTAACCAATGACTGTTAGAAATGAAGAACAGTGGCAAAGTCACTGTAAAAATGCAACATACAAGGTAAAATATGTTAATATGTATGTTACAAGCTTTAAATAAAACATGGAATGTCTTTTACAAGCTTCAAATGTTTGTGTCAAATTCAAAATGGCTAATAAAAGTTAATGGTAGCTTACAGATAACACACTACAAGAATCTCGTAAGAGAACTAGCAGAAATCAGCATTATCACAGAAATGTTTTTTTCTGTCATTTTTGACCGGGTTTTGACATTTATGGCTCAAACTGAAGGCCAAGTCACGGTTCGCCACTGACGCGGACGGATCAGAACACAGGCATGCTTTCATATAAACACAGCTCCACTCAGCAATCAGTGACATACTGTAGCTTATTTGGCGTCTCCTGAGCTTCATTCGTCCTGGCATGCACATCTGAATGGGGAAATCCGAAACGCAGTGATCTCCTACTCCCTACTAAATGTTTTTTAACAAGTTTTGTTTTTGGACAGAAATTTGGCTCAGGCATAGTTTTCCATCCAGGCCTGCATTCCTCTGGATTTCATAGTGCTTCCCCACTCATGAGGCCTTCCATAGGTCCAGTTATTTGGATGGAGACAGCTGTAATATCAGCAGGAATCCAGCAGGAATCAGATGGAGGATAGCGAGACAGATAGGAACAATTACAGATGATAATCCCGAATATGATAGTTAGAGACTGAAGAAGAATGCATGGCAAAAAAACACCCTTCAATTAACTGGGGCAACACTCTGGGGAATGTCTGTCTCCGGGGCAACAAGCGCCATTCCTCTCCAACAAATGGCTTCTTTCATAACAAACCGAAACAAAGTGCATCTGTGCTATGGTGCTAACACAGTCAAAGGGAATTTTCTAACATTATCTTAGTCAGATGCTCTCTCACAAAGCCTCGGAAGCAGTTAGCCCTAAACGGCCACCACACGTGATTGGAAGATCAAGATCAAGCATCTACACAAAGGACTTTGCCCAATCAACACTGCTGGAGGACAGCAGCTCTGCTGATATCTGAGCAATTTTAATTGCTTTAATCAAAGGGCAGCGTTTTGTGTGAAATAATGAGCAGCAAACAATGGCCAGAGAAGAAGCAAGAGAGAAAAAAAGATGCAATAGAGAGTGGTGAGAAAGCTCCTGGTGACCATCCAAACTCCAAGTCCAAAATATCCTTCAAAGAGCCCTTAGAGCCCCTTGTCTCCCTCAATTAATCCAGCGTACGCTTCACTCACTTCCAAGAAAACATGTCCTAACAACACCGGCCATCCCTCTATAAACTTCACCGCCCAGGCCGGCACCACGTCAGACTTTGTTGGCAGAGCGGGTCCATGAGGTTTTCCGTGGGGGACCAACTTTGCTTGGGCAGCAAAGGACACTCTTAAGCTAGCAACACCCGGTGCTTTCGGTAAGAACAGACATAGGCCAAAATCTTGAGCCTTAATCGTTTTCAGTATTCTGCCTGCCTGGCGCATGCAATCACAGTGCGACTAATCCCCCCCTCCTTGTGAAGCCACTTTGGGAACACAGCCTGCTGGTGAACTCATGATCCACACTCAGGGTTTCTCAGGCTCTCCCAAGTGGCCCTGACTCATAAATGACTCATGGGGGAAGGATTGGGGGGGATTTCTTAGGTTCTCTTGGGGTGAAGTCTGGAGACCAGCCCTCTGCCTCCATCCAGGTCAGCCTCCGCTCAACATCAGAAGAGAGGAGGCAACGCTGTCACCATGGCACAGAGCTCCACTCTTTCTGATTCGTAATTCAAAAGGTCGTACAGTTTTGCTCTGCCTCGCCGAGGAAGGGCAGATGTTCATTTTCTTTTTTTCTGAACAAAGTCCCCCAGTAAAATGAACAACTTTGGGAGAACTTTTATGAGAGATGTAAAGATTTTCATTTACGGACAGAAGTTTATCATTCCATTATAATTCTGCTGGCTAACACTTTTATGAGGCGTTTTATAGAGGAGCTGGCCGATGTCCAGTTCTGTGGGAGATTTTAACTGCTCTGCCATTGGAGAGTTCAACTCCCTCAGCATTTTTTCTCACAACTTACAAAGAAAAAGAGTTCTTCTTGTCAAAGGGGAGACCAGGATGAGCTAGACGACAAATAACACCACACTGATGCCACCTATAGTGGATGAAAGGGAAGCATTTAAGACTCCACTTGAGTTAAAGTATGTGAAATGCACTAAAATAACTCAGATTCACAAAGTGATATAGGGCTGAACAGTTTGGGGGAAATATCTAAATATGATTTGTCTGACCAATACTGTGATTATGGTATTAATATTGAGATTATTTTCTATAAATTAAGCTCCAGCTCTTTTGCCAAGAAATCCAGCACATCTATTTCTACAGGCTTGAACGCTGAATGCAGCATGCCAGACGACCAGTTCTCATGCTCAGTGTTTTTAGGTTAAACTTCCTTATTTAAAACTTAGAACAAGCTTTGTGATTTGAAAATTGTCCTTTTTCAAAAATGCCAAGAGTGATATACATGTCCTCAGATTCAAAGGATAAAATGTTGACTGTTGACTTTCTAAAAAAATCCAATGGCACATATGTGGAATTTCCTGATTTAAAGATGGAAAACCCCTTCTAATGATGTATCTTGAAGGTGGAAGTAAAATTTGAAAGGTTACAAGTGCTTTGGGGTGGATAATTAAGACAGGCTGTTTGACTTTCTGTATTTTTATAATTTATATCAAATTTATAATAAATTACATTTGGTCAATTCTTCAAAAAAATTACTCCTTTAACAAAAAAGTTTAGTTCTATATCACTAACGCTAGCATTGCAGATATTTAATTATTAGCCTCTAGATCAGTGGCTAGCGGTCAGGGTTTCTTGAACATCATAGGGATTGCCAATGTTTGTATGATGTACTTGCATAAAGCATGCTGGGTATTGTAGTAAAAGAACGCTGATGGACAAAAACACAGAAACTAAACTATTTTGTGAATTCTGTCAAAGAAACGAGGCTGAGAGATGCAGTGCTGCACTACAGAATACTGCATAACAAAGGACATGTTAAATGTTAGATTTAGGGTGGAACAGTCCTTTCAGTATAATATCCAGCCCTGATTTCTGAGCATAGCTATATAAGGTTGCCAGCTATATAGGTACACCTACCTCTTACCTACACTTACTGGCAATTCTAATCAGGTATATATACCACACAAACACCTTTGAGCAGATATTATTTGGGTGATGGATCATTCTCAGCACATCAGAGACAACAGCATGATAGGGCCATGGTGGTCAGTAAGTCAGGTATAGGCAATAATTGTACCACAAGTACAAAAGTGCCCCTATGTGGTTGGTGTACCACATCAAAATGTTCATCAGCAAACAAAAGCATCAATATTACATATAAAAACTCAGAAGACAAATGTAGCTTCACTGGTGGTTTTGATTAGTAAATAAAATGGCTTAATTTTGTTGTAGACATTGCGACCTCTGGTTCCTATCACTACCACTGTAATGAAATCTGAGTCTGCTAGTTTCTTTACAGGACATTTCTCATTAAAATACTTTGTTTCCAACTCAACGATTGAATTATACAGAAATTTTGAAAAATGGTTGGAAGTCCCTTAAAAAACGCATCAAATTAATCAGTTCTATCCAAGCTGCTGCTTTCCAAATGCCACTTTTTAGTTATTAGGCAGCTGGAACAACCTAAAAAATCTGAGCTGCAAAAACTGCTGCTCCCAGATTGGTGCAGAAGTAGCTTGTACCAGCATCAAAACTTTCAGGCCAAGAAAATGTCCTTAGACGCCGAGGCCAGATGGAGTAGGTGGGTGACAATGCAAACTTGCAGTCTTCAATGCTTCCATGGTGACCAAGCCAATAGACCAAAACAGACTGGCTTTTCATCCGGGCTACGCCCACCAGTGCACTGGAGTTAATGTCAAGATCAGGGGGTAAGAATCCCTGTCATTTTCTCTGTCCTCTTCCTTTTGTCTGTGCCTTGCCTGCATTTCTGCCCCCTCCACAGTGGGGACTGGATTTACAGAGTGCACAGCTTATTCCCCATGTTTAGTCTAATAGAGAGTTCATATAGTCTGCCATTAGGTTGGTGTTGGTTGAGTTCTGATGCAGAGGGCTTTTGTGTTCTGTCTATTTACATTTTTTCCCCAAAGCACCAAACTCAGAACTGCTTCGGGCTCTTGAAAAATCCCCGAAGTCCTAAAGCTGCGTCTGTCAGGACATTTTTACGAGCCTTTGATCCCTGGACACCAGACGTAGACCTAAATATGGAGTCCTAAAATTTGTGGCCGTGGGAAACTGGCAGCAGTAGACTCGTAAATCACTCACCAAACTGTGGAAGTGCTCGAATCAGCCACAACTGTACGTTCACTTGGCTCTAATGTGAAGAATCTGCAGTGACATCTTGTTTTACCTCCCTTAACTTACCAAAGTTGAACGCACGCGCTGCGAAGCCAACGTGAACAAAACGTCAAGCAGCTCTGCGCGCCTGCTTGTATGAATTATTAGCCAATCCTAGCGCAGTATGCAAATGAAGGCGTACGGCTTGCGAATATCAGCCACTCGTAGCGTAGGCCACTGGATGCTGCTAGCCAATCCTGGCACAATATGCAAATTACCCGAGGCGCCGCTAATGTGCTCGCCAGTGCTAATGATTAAGGGCGGAGCTTGTCGGAATACGGGTGCGTTCTATAGTCACGTGGTCGCGCGGAGGCTCAGAGATGTAGCTGGTGAGGAGCTCGCTAGTCCACCTTCTGCTCCGCTCAGGACACTGATGGACTCGCGGTTCGCCTTTTTTCGGGAAGCTTCTATGGGGACATTCGACGGGATGAGACCCGAGGAAGGAGGGAGAGAACATAGCCTCAAGTTTCTATCCTCCTGCTCTTCTCTTTAAAGTAAAAGTGGTTCTCAGGAGTTTCTGTTCAGAAGATCCACCTCAGTGCCACCTGCCCAGCCCCAGGTTCTCCGGTACAGGTGAAAAAGTTACTTAATGTACTCTTTACGTTAACTTTTCCGTGATTTAGTGTGTGTGAAGAGCATTTGGTTTTCTTTAGAGAAAGTACTGATATGGGGATTGTAGGCTGATGATATCTGAGAATGCTGATGCAAAAATATTTATAAAATGTTGCAATTGGGACTAAATCCACATGGGTTAGCATTATATGCATAGAAATGGTCAAAAACTGCTTGGAAAAAAATCTTGTTGCAACTCCATTCTAAGTTCAGAATGTTTTTTTCCTTCTCTTGCAAAGTTCATTATTTGAAGATGCATGTTTTGTTCCAACAGTGTCTATTTAATTCTAGTGTGTAACAAATGCATTAAGAAGAGCAAAATACAGACATTTCAGTAACGTAGTAACGTTCCTGAGTTCAGTAAATATGCAATCACATTTCAACAACCTGTTTGAAATATTGGTCAAATCTGAACATCAATCCAGTGCTGATCATTTTTAAAACAGTATGATGATACCGATGTGATTCCGATATCATTGTGCATCCCTAGATTTCCTTTAGCAGTATAGCTTGTGGTTAATGTATTTCCGGATAGGAACAGTCAAGTGAAGTTTCTTCTGGGATTTGGCTTTTAATCAGCAGATTTAATCAGTTTCCATTGTCCTTTTGAGGTGGTCAGTCAATTCCATTGATTTAACTCTGTACACCATGACAATCTCCATCTGTCTGGAATTATATTATTCAGTGAGCTGTGAGGTTGTGTTCGCAGAGTACTGTGGACACAGGCAAATACTTGATTATCACTATGTACAGAGCATGTTCTGTTTTATCAGGAGGGGACCCACTGCAGGGTGTTTTAGCGTTAGTATTACAAAGAAATATAGCATATAATCCGACAGATTGAGACGCCCTTGTTCTTTTTGAACAAACCAGGCTTCTATATATGTTTGTTGAAGACCAAACAATAGAATTTTTTTTTTTTACTTTGTTAAATCAGTCTGATAAGAAAACATGAAAGCTAGAATCAAGGATTTTTATGAAGTCATTAAAACTGTGGTACTTTAGTGCGAATATAAAAAAATAGTTAAGACCTTTATTGTGCCACTGCCTGGGCTCACATTCAGAGCTCTATCGATAATGAATTTTGGGAGAGCAGCATTCCTCCGGCGCATACCTTCAGTGTTTTTGGAAATTCAGTACAGTCACATATTTGTTCTACAGTCCCAGATTGTGGCCTTAATCCAGTGGTGTTGAAACACCCCTATTAAACCGCTGAAAATAGACCACTCTAATAAGACGGGGACAGTCCAGAGACACTGTCACGGTGGCTCATACTAAGAGTAGGTGTAAAATATGCAGTTTCCAGGCCCCCACACCAGTAAAACATTTCCAGCCTCCATGTGGCGCCGTGCAGTCAGGGGGCTTGACCCAGGGCCTCTATTTGGCACATCATCAAGATTTTATTAGTATTATTTAGTTGTTTGTTGGTGTTGCTTCTGCCTGAATGCAACAGAAATGTATAAGTGATGAAATTCCACCGCAGCTCAAAATTCCAAAGACTGCTGGTCCCCTGTGTCCCACAAGCCCAGTGGCTATAAATACCGCAATGGTCAGTCAGCCCCATATTTTAGCAGCCTTAACACGCAACCGCAGACATTGACAGTGTTTGCCATTCTCTTTGGTTTGCCTGATTACCCTAGATAAATACGAAATAGCAGCAGTGGGAGTCGAGCCAGGCAGGGGATCAAGACCAGAAAAGTGGTTTTAATGTCCCACAAGGCGCTGTCCAAGATCCAGCTTTGAAACTGAGATTAAATGACAGTGGGTCTTCTGAATGCAGACAAAGAGGCCAAAGAACTCTGGCTTTCATAGTTGTTTGAACTGTAGTGAAGTGATAATGTAAACAGGAAAATGAGACAGCATTTGGTAATTAGGGGTGCACTTCTCGGAACAAAAGCTCATTTTTTTGTTCCTGTTTGCCTCCTGACCACCCGTAGGTGTGCTACCGCTATGGCATCCCAGTTCCACCCCATCCTGCTCCCATTGCTTCTGCTGCTGTGTGCTCGGCAAGGCTTCCCCGAGAAGCCTCTGTGGCCCCTGCAGCGCGTGCCGGTAGTCCTTCCCCAGCAGATTGAGGAGCAGCCAACCCCTCACTTTCTCGGCCCAGCTCAGCTGGAGGTGACCTCTTCCTGCGGTCCAGAGTGTCATAAGAAAGCCCCAACCCCCAGCTACTGGGACCTGCGGCACTTCCTGTCCTATGAGACTCTCCACTCCAACGGCCAGCTGACTGAGACAGTCGTGGGAATCTATGGGTTTGACCTCAACTCGCTCAACAAGAGTCCTGCCATTGAGCAGGGTCGCTCCAGGGCCAAGCGCCAGATATTCGGGCACGACGGTCGCTTCAGTATCATAGGTCGGGACTTCCTGTTGAACTACCCCTTCTCCACGGCCGTGAAGCTGTCTACTGGCTGCTCGGGCACGCTAGTAGGCGACAAGCATGTCCTCACTGCAGCCCACTGTGTCCACGATGGGAAAAACTATGTAAAGGGCGCCCAGAGGCTAAGAGTCGGTTTCCTTAAGCCACGACAAAAGGATCCACCACTCAACAATGGCACCAACGCATCGAAAACTCCACCCCCAGAGAAGATGAAGTTCCAGTGGATCCGAGCCAAGCGGACCCATGTCCCCAAAGGCTGGATAAAGGGCAATGCTAACGACATCGGTATGGACTACGATTATGCCCTTCTGGAGCTCAAGAAAGCTCATAAGCGCAGGCACATGAAGCTGGGAGTCAGCCCTTCTGCCAAACAGCTACCTGGTCGGCGGGTGCAGTTCTCCGGCTTTGACAATGACCGACCTGGCCAGCTGGTCTACCGCTTCTGCAAGGTCGGAGATGAAACCTATGACCTTCTGTATCAGCACTGCGACGCCCAGCCTGGCGCTAGTGGCTCTGGCGTCTACGCCCGCATGTGGGATCGCAAACGTCGCCGCTGGGAGCGGAAGGTGATTGGTGTCTTCTCGGGACACCAGTGGGTAGATCTCAATGGCGCCCCCCAGGAATTTAATGTGGCAGTGCGCATCACTCCCCTCAAATATGCCCAGATCTGCTACTGGATCGAAGGGAATTATCTTGACTGCAGAGAAGGCTAAACTAATGCTAAACAATACTCTCGCTTCAAGTACAGATCCAGTCTGCGCATTATTCAAACAACAATATAAACATCTAAGAATTCATGCAACACTGGCATGTAAGCACTGAGAAAGGAGTAGAAAAACCCATTCACACATACTGTACATATTCAGACGTCAGGCTGATTTCTAGAAGCTGATCTCCTGTTACTTTACTTAACCAAACAAAAACATTTGCACTGTCTTATTTAGATTGAAGTCACCATGGTCCAGATCCAGCTAGGATTCATTCTATACTTTTGCAAGGCCAACAAGCTGTGGTTAATTGTAGCCAAACAGCAAAAATAAAGAGATGTTTGCGAAAGGCGTCTGTAAACAACAGAAAGACTCTATCAGCACCAAATCCGGTTATTAATGTCTGTGGACTTTTTCTGTAGAAGGCACTGAAGCAGTTGTGAAGGCACTAAGCCTTTGTAAATGTTCTACTTTTTGTTGTGAAAGAATGTACTGCAGTTAACCAAAGGTGCTTTTTAATTACTATATATGCGAGTGAAACAAACATGCATAGGTCTTTAACTACTGTACAGAATGTCTTCATGTGTTGTGGCATCTGTTTGTATTCTGCCACACTCTTAAAAATAAGGTGCCAAAATCAAAGAACAGTAATTTTTGGTTCCATAAAGAACCTTTTCAATGAATGGTTCTTAGAACAGAGGTACTCAAACTTGCCCTCAGTGCCCCCCATTTTCATTCTATGCCTGTGTAAATGTGGACTGTCTGGGGGGTCCCTGAGGACTGCTTTGAGAACCATGTATAACGTGTAAAGAAAAGTATAAAGAATCCTTTAATTATGGGGAGGTTCTTTGAAGCTATGCAATGTTCTTCAAGCTCACAAATCTCTTTAAAAAAGTTTTTTTTTCAATGGAATCTCTCAAAGAACCCTTTGTGGTACCTTCATTTTTTTGAGTGTAGCGACCCCTAGTGGTCAAAAACAGTTCATGATGTGGTCGCCACGGGTTCCGATATAATAATGTTGGTGGCGCTGCCCTTTTACACTGATAAGAGAGCTTTTTTTAAATTAAGTAAGGGCAAAATAATGTCAAGAATAAAACTAGTATTTAAGTATATAGATGTGATATAGACTTGAGCAAGTGAACTTTTATATGCAAATGTCTGTTCCCAAAGCACTTTGAAATCATATTGCTATGTTCATTAAAGTCATTACCAACATTGGATCATGATGACAATTTACAATGTACTACATAAATATATTAAATGCTTTTGAAAGAGGCATCTTTTCTCTGATTCTCTGTAACTCAAAATCACATCGGATATTTTCTTAGAAAAGTACAGACCAACATTAAAAAAAGATCTTAAAATGCATCATTTCTTCTTTAATACTTTGGTAAGCATTCAGTTGGCTCGGTGACAGCCCCTGTCCTGTTCAGGTAAGGATTACAACAGTCTCTCTTGTTTCTGTCCATTTTAGCCCACTCCTTCATTTCCAAGCAGAACACATGGACACTCCCACATTCCAGGCTGACAGCTGTAGGATGTGTGTATATATATATATATATATATATATATATATATATATATATATATATATATATATATATATATATATATATATATATATATGACTGATTCAACAGAGATGATCAGGGTTCCCTGATTTCAGTAAGGCCATTTTCCAGGACTTTCACAGAACATTTTCCATAATTTAGACTTGGATCTTTAACATCTAAGTCAACAATACAACCCTTAACAAGCCCTTACTGACTGACCAAGATGCTGGTCTACTACACTCTGCAAAGCTGTCTTGTTTCCTAACTGTCCATACCCAAGTGCCCCTGACGACAGACACAACTCCAGCTCTTTAAACAAACATTACTCACTACTGCCCTCTACAGCACCATTCAAAACTCAAAACTTCTTGTTTTCGCAAGGTTCATGACACTCACAATGTGTTTTTGCCTAACTGATGAAAAGGCACTCGCAATCTGTTTTTTGTGACATAAATGATTGTTATTGCAAAATAACTGTGGCCAGCTTAAACGATTGTGAAAGGGTCTCTCACACAGGGTACAGTAGTTCAGCTTTCAAGGACTGTATGAAAATATAAGAGCAATATATGAGAACAATTTGACACCTACACTATCAGAAAAAAACAGCACAGCTCATCACCAGCAAAACCAGCATATTTTGTTTTGGATGCTAGTATGTGGTTGACCAGTTAACCAGCCCCTGACCAGCATAAACCAGCTTAGACCAGCATGGCATTCAGTCTGGTCAGTGTTGCGTTTTTTTTCAGCAGTGTAAATTCAAAACTGAATTCCCCTAATCTGCAGAATTCCAACTTTACTTTTTCAATGTGTCCTTTGCAAAATTCCTTTTGCATATTCTCTCTCCATATGATTCTCCTGATAAAGTAAAATAAAGTTTGTTAAGGTAAAGTTAATATTTCTGTAGACTGAAGGTGCTGAGTGACAGGATCTAGATAATGACCCTCACTTTACACATTCTAGGACTATTTCAACCTTTCTTCCTCATTTTCCAGGTGTTTTTCTTTGACTGGAAAACTAGTATCTAAATTTTGAGGTTTTATAGGTTTCCCAGGGCATGTGGGACCTCTGCATGATGACACACTGGGACAGCTTGACTGACCAGCAAAGTCACCAGGCCGCAATTCCAATTTGGAATAGGCATGGACTGTGCCGGAAACGTGCACCAAGTTAGTAGAAGAGAGGGCTAGAATGTACATAAGCTATCTCATGAAACTGGAGTAATCTATACCTGAATAAGATTAGCACTGTTATTAAGTAAAGTTTTAGACAAGAAAGTAAAAATTAAAAAAACAAATTATCACCTGGAACATGTACTGTACATATTTTAGTTCTATTTGTATGATATTTATATATCAAGCTGTGTAAAACTCCTAATTGCTATTTAAAACAACTTGTAGAGGAGACCCAGCATGACCTCTGTTTATGGAGAAGAAAAGTCTTTATCTTGTGACTACAATTTGCACGTCTGGTATGCATTGTCTGGCAAAAAAAAATGACCTTGTGGTTTACGTGTTAATGCATACGCACAAACACAGTGAGACAAAGAGAGAAGTTCAACCATTTTTGTTTATTCTGAATGCCATGGCATTTTGAAATAATGTTGCATTGTGTCAAAATACTGCAAGCTCGACAGACCATGGGCCCCACCCAGCATCTGTGTGGCCACGCCCACTAAGAACATTGAACATGATAACCAAGGAAGGCTCCCATAGCATCCTGGGATTTGGCACAGAGATAGGCATGAATAAACAGGAAATAAAGTCGCATCAGCTTAAGCTTCAAAAGGCTACAGCGACTGACCTGAAGGAGCATATTTCTGACGTTTCTGGAAAAAAAATGAAGTCTGATAAAATGCACCAATATCAGGCTATAAACAGATAATAACAATCATAAAATACAGTAATGTAATGAAAAATGATACAGCATTCACTATACAGGCAATGGACTGGACTCCATCCGCTCCTCAGTCCTCCGACTTCTCGACTGGCTGCCTGTTTAAGAGCATCTTTGGCGGAAATTTGGACGTCGTGTGAGACGCGTGCTACAAGGCCTCGACGCTCCTCCCCGTCTGCGACTTTTTTTTTCCTTTTTTATTTCGCATTAGGGAGGAAATGACATCACGTCGCAAAAACGTAATGCCCCGTGTTCATTCGTGTAACAGTATACAAAATAAAATATTTTCTTAAATAGATAAACATTGCATGAAAATAGAACCGTATCAAAATAAACAGCTGGAGTTCACAGTCATTCCTTTAACCCCTTTTTCTGGCACGCTCAGGTCCTCCAAAGCTCCTAGCTGGGGCCTCACTGCGACTTTAGGCCCAGGCTGTTGCCACTGAGGGGGTAGGAGTAGGCTTTGCCCAGCACAATACGATCCCGCAGCAGCTTAAAGAGCACGTAGTAGTTGCAGAAGAGGATGAGGCCCAGCGACAGCGTGTGGTTCCAGCGCTCAGAGCGCAGCAGAGAATACAGCTGGTAAAGCACCACGCTCGACTCGATCCCAATTAACAGGTTCAGGATCCGCAATGGCTTATGGAACAGAAACTAAAGAGGGAAATGGAGACATTGATTATTAGCAGAAGAGCTGAAGTCGCTCTCAATGTGAGAATTTCAAAGCACTTTTTAAAGCTGATGCCCCTCTTACACAAACACTACCTCTGCATGATGAGTGATGTGGCAGCGTGACAGTTCACACACAATGGCCACTGAGTAACGGTACAGAGGGCTCATACATGAAAACCTCTCGTAAACAAGCTCTACAGACATCCTTTTTTTGTTTAAATAACCAGTCAAATCAGTTATTTTGCTTAATAAAAATACTTATCAAATGCAATGCATTCATTTACTACTCTTGGCAGTTTTCTTACTTGTGATGTTAGAGGGAATGTTCATCTAACATTTTGATATCAGGCACTTTTTTGTTTCTTTGTCTAGATGCGCTGCCCCTTCTGAGGTGCTTGGGCAGGCTGTGGTAATACTCAAATCTGTTTAACATGGTCAGCAAAATGCCCCCAAATCGTGTAATTGTCTACAGCTGGCGCTATGCTTCAAAGGAAAACAAAGACATTTTGAAGCAAAATGATGTCTTCATCCAGAACGTCACAGTGGTTTGAGCTGAACAGAACTCCTCATTCCAGTGCCAGTAAGACTTCTACCTGACTATGACTATGACTATGATCGTAATCACTATGTTGTTTGTTCCGAGACCTCTCCCTGACTACACTTGGTCCTAAGCGCTACATTTACCTGTGCCGCAACATCTTTTTTTTTTTTAACGTAGTGGCATGTAGAAACCATTTAAATGGAGAGTCATTGGCACTTATACCAGCTGTTACATACTGGTTGCATAGCCTATCTACAGTTAAAATAAAAAATATCATAGGAACTGTTTTATCTGTGTTTACTGGTGACAAATTGTCACTGGTTAATTCAGAAAGTAGATTTAAATTTCACAATTCTTTGCCAGAGTTTCACCACACGGTGTTTGTTAAAAGACGACACAACTTTGCTGACTGTGCTGGAGACTGCAAAGGCAGTTTATGACAGATCATGAATAGAATACAATAGATTGCCTTTACTTTCACTGTACAAAACATACAACGAAATTAAGAGGGCTACTCCTAATCAGTGCAAGCAAGACAGAAAAGCAAGTTAAGAAAATGTATAATCATATAAAATAATTTAGGAGAATAGGATATTGCACCAAAATGTAATAATAATATAAGCTAATTAAATTAATAAAAGGTGCTTTTACTAATAAGCTACATCACAGTTAATCTTAAAAGAACTCAACAGGTGGCAGTAGTCTTTATATCATATAGGCTTATTCCAGTGTTTACTGCCCCTAGAACTTAATGTTTGTGGAATTTAAAGTTCTGATAGCCCAGTGAAAGAAACTATACCTAAATCTGTTTACACTTAAATATGAAATGACTGGTTCTATTCACCACATCATTTGTTCAGAGACCTCCTCCAGGTCCACTGAGCGAGTTTCTAGCGGTGCGGAGACATACACAGAGCTCTTTTTAAGTGTGTTTATGACAGCATGGTCGGCAGTAGTTACATTTCATTTAGTTCTTACGGCATTTAAAGTATACTGCCAGGTTAAGTGTTGGCCATGTCATCACGAGATTGAGTTGGAGATACGGCTATCTGTAGATCAAAAGGGCATGACTGGCCTCGCCCTTCCTCTCCCCCATCATGATGCTAGCCAATGCTGGCGTCTGTTAGCTGACACAACATAATTGGAAGTTAATGTTCTCCTCCAAGGGTGTTCAGCTGTTATGCTGTGTTAGTGGCAGAGAAGATGTCACACTGTTAAGCCACATCCTAGCCCTCACTGTTCCAGCCTGGTAGCACTGCGTGATGGGGAGACCTAGCTCATGGGTAAAAGTGAAAATGACTAAACTGGGAGAAAAAGTATGACAGGAAAAGGCAAGATGTTCTATATAGTACATGTGAAAGAGGCAAAGTATGTGCGAAACAGGCCTGAGAGAGGTTCACTACAAACATGATGCTATAAACAAGAACATGTGGCTTAAAAGCTTTGAAACAAAAACAAAATTGCCTTTCATATATACACACACACACAACATACTGGAGTATAATGTATAATATAACAAAGTGTACATGCTTTAGAGGAAGTCTGAAACCACAGAACTGAAAATTTCAGTTACCTCCACCCAGTGTCAGTTTCAATGCTAAACTTACGCCTACTTAGATCACCATAATAATGCAAATGAGCTGCAGTGAGGCCAAAGCCAACCACATAACAACTGCACAACTGATACTAAGGGAAAAAACTGCAGGTCACATTTTTTTCCTATCTTTGCTATTAACTGTCGTTTGGAACCGAAAGCTGTTTCTGACATTAATGGCTCAAACAACCACTGAGGCAGAGAAAGTGTTTGTAGGGGATACTCACATAAAACCTGGCGTGGGAGACATCAGAGGGCAAGGCCACATTATACGGCCCAACAGCCTTGTAGAGACAGCGGCTGTGTCGCACCAGAACCCCCTGAGGCCAGATGGTGCTCTCAGACCACCTGAGTAACATAAGACAGAATAACATCCATAGGTTTTACAACAAGATTGGTAGGTTGATAGGTTTTAGCATATCACAATGCAATATTCCTTTTGCTAGATGCAATCCATGAAGAATCCAAGAAGCTAATTAACTCTACGGTCCAATCTTCTTTTATTACCTTTAACCTCAATTATAAGGCAGGGAGATATGACCATAAATCTTATCATGATTTAGATTTCCATATCTTTCAGTATCAGTAATTAAGTAAATCATAGGTAATTTCCTCCCTTGCACAAGTCTGAATACTATTTGCAGCTCTGAGAAAAACATTCTGCCACAATCTCCTTTTGCTCCGAGACATTTTCCTCAAACTCAAAACTCCTCTCCATAATTTCAACACTGAAAAATAGCTAATTCTAGTTAACAGCTAGACCATTTTGCCCATCATGTCTGGCGAATAAATGGCCCATATCACCACCAAGTGTACTGAAGTAGTTAGTGTTTAAATATCAAACCTTTGCAGCGAATAACCAGATTGAGGAAATGTGTAATTAGGCCTGTCATGATCATGACTTTTTGACTGACAATTCATATTTTTGCCATATGAACAATTGTGTTGAACAATTTATCTGTCTTATTTGTTTGTTATATACAATTATTAAAGTTCAAGCCTTAACTGGGCATATTGGCTAATTAGATATCTGGCTTCTTAGCTTTCAACTGACAACACAAACAGCCTGAGTTCAAATAAAAAAACATTACGCACTGCAGCTGTGTAAAGGTGTTATAGCATCAGACAGAAGTTAGAACTTTCGTTCCTTTTTGTTTTTGTAGAACCCATAATATACACTATATGGACGAAAGTACTGAGACACACCCTTTTAAATCATTTAATTCAGGTGTTTACAGTTCCATTGCCACAGGTGTATAAAATCAAGCACCTAGCCATGCGGTCTGTCTTATAAACATTTAAAGAAAGAATGGACTGTTCTAAAGAGCTCACTGAATTCAAGTGTGGTACTGTAATAGGATGCTACTGTTGCAACAAGTCAGTTTGCGAAATGTTTTCCCTCCTAGATATTCTATGACCAACTGTGAGTGGTATTATTTAAAAGTGGAAGCATTTAGGAACCACAACAACTCCACAAAGACCACAGAGTTACAGAGCGGGTCGCTGAGTGCTGAGGGGCATAGGGCATAAAAGTCACCAACGCTCTGCTGACTCAATAACTGCAGAGTTCTAAACCTCCTCTGGCATTAACATCAGTACAAAAACTGAGCGCTGGGGGCTTCATAGCATGGGTTCCCATGGCTGAGCAGCTGTATGCAAGCCTTACGTCACCAAGCACAATGCCAAGCATCGGATGCAGTGGTGTAAAGCACGCCGCCACTGGACTCTGGAGCAGTGGAAACATATTCTGTGGAGTGATGAATCTCGCTTCTCTATCTAACAGTCTGATGGATGAGTCTGGAGAACATTACCTGCCTGACAGCATTATGCCAACTGTAATGCTTGGAGGAGGAGGGAAAATGGGGTTTTTCAGGGGTTGGCCTAGACCCCTTAGTTCCAGAGAAGGAAAATCGTAATGCTTCAGCAGACCAAGACATTTTGGACAATTGTATGCTTCCAACTTTGTGGGAACAGTTTGGGGAAGACCCTGTTCTGTTCCAGCATCATTGTGCCCCAGTGCACAAAGCAAGGTCCATAAAGGCATGGTAGGGTCAGTTTGTGGAAGAACTTGACTGGCCCTCACAGAGCCCTGACCTCAACCCCATCAAACACCTTTAGTATGAACAAGAAAGGAGACTGTGAGCCAGGCCCTCTCATCCAGCATCAGTGTCTGACCTCACAAATGCTCTTCTGGATCAATGGGCAAAAATTCCCACAGACACACTCCAAACTCTTGCAGAAAGCTTCCCAGAAGAGTGGAAGCTGTTATAGCAGCATAGAGGGAACCAACTCTACATTAATGCCTATGGATTTAGAATGGGATGTCATAAAAGCTCCTGTAGGTGTAATGAGTAGGTGTCCCAGTGCTTTTGTCCATGTAGTGCATCTCGAGAAATGCATTTGTTGCTTGCTTATTTTTTTATTTTTTTTCTACAACCCAACTGATGCAATACGCATTCTGTTGCAACAAACACATAATTGTTGTGAAAGGTAACAACTGTGTGAAACAACTGCCATTAGCTTAAGCAATTTCAATCAGATCAAGTAATTGCTGTCAGACAATTATGTGATAATTGCGACGGATCATTTAAATTAAAATACCTCAAGCACATATTATCAAGATCAAAAAAGACCTTTTTGAATTAATGTTATCATGTCGTCTCCTTAAATATGTGAACATTTTACATATTTTCAGCAATGAACATTAATTTTCCAATCAGTTGCCACATTCCTAATAAACGGATTCTTCAACTTTCACATTATTTCACACTTCAGGTATTGCTGTGCATGGCAAACTAGCTGAGCAAGGATGAACAAATCTACTCACACATGCTGCGGTGCGTTGCTGTATGAGCCATGCTCGAGCCGTTGCCAGCGACCCAGATGGGCAGCTGAACGGTGCAGCAGGTCACAGTAGCTGGGCGGCAGAAGCTGGCTCATCAGCATGACAAACGCATTGATCCACACCATGATCAAGTGCTCACAGGACCAGCGCATGTCGTAGTACTGTGTATTCTGGGGAGGACAAAAACACACAACCTTAAATAACAGAATCTTCTAATGTCACTCATGTTTGTAGCGAAGCACCGATACAGGAACCGTGGGACGATGCTGATCTCAAGTATTTTTCATGTACATATCTGTTGATGCTAATACAAAAACATACAAAACACAAAAATTGGGACTACATGGTCAATAAACTGCAATAAACTGAGAACAATAACTACATCATCAAGTTTTGGTTTAGAACACCAGTAAAATCTAAATATCTGTCTCATGTCAATTTTCTTAAGCTGTCTGTTGATACTGATGTTATTCTGATGTCACCCTGCAACTCTACATATTTGTTTTTATCTTTTTGGGATCATCATGGCAGGATCAGAGACAGTCCAGGGAATTTACAAGGCTACGTTTACACAGCAGGTAAAACTGGCCCAAATCCGATCTTTTTCTCCTTATGTAACACAGATGTGTCATCTGTGTAGCAGTGTGAACAGCAAAAACACATTGAATCTGACATTTTCAATTCTTTGAGATTGAGATTTCATATGTGGTACTGAAATCCGATATGTTTCTGATCTGTGGCAATGCCACTCAGTCTGAACAGCCAGATCGGAAATCACGCGACTTTTACGTCAGTTTAACTCGGCATTCGCCAAAATTTCACGCTGCTGAGACTCGAACATTTAGGCTGATGTTTCTGTACCAAGAAATCAGAAGAGACGTATCGTACCCGCTCCGTGTTTGAAGAGATTTCGAACAAAATGGCCAAACATAGCCGGAGGAGACCGAGGCTGCAGCGTCAAAGAACAGTTTAAAGAATCCAAGGACAAGAACCAAAGAAGTGGCCGTGGCAGAATAACATGACAAAAAACCAAACAAAAAAAACGAATTTGGTGAGAAAATCAGATTTGGGACACCTTCACCTGCTGTGTAAAGGTAGCCTAACTGATTGATATTTAACTGAATTGTTCTTCTAAGTACGAATTGCACGAGGCAGTTTCATTTCGCCAGATCTTTCTGATTATTAAGGATTGCTAAATTCAATATAACTGGGTTATGATCTAACCTGAAATGCCATTTCAGAATAAACTACGGCAAATTGCCTGGTTAGAAGATTGAGGTTTGACCAGTTCCCCTTTCTACCTAAACATGTTCATGAACCACATGCATAAATACCCACCTGGACGAAACAAAGTGGCAGGAAGGCTACGTAATAGGCACTGAAGAGCGAGTTGAAGAGCACTTCTTTAATTCGGCGGTTAAAGTCACTCTTTAGCTCCTCCACCTCAGTGCGTATGAGCTCAGGTGAGGGGGGGCAGGTGTGGGCAGGTACATGGGTGGGGCTGGAGAACTGCTCTCTTAGGTTCTCGCGCAGGAGTGCCAGGAAGTCCTTTGGTCGAAGCAGAGAGCTATCTGTCCCATCCTGCTCTGAGAAGCCGCAGTCAGTTTTAGCCGGCTGTGTTCGTCCCTCCTGGTGGAAGCAGCATAGCGGCACGTACACACCGAACCTAAGAGAGAAAGACGTGGAAATTATGATGGAACATCATTCATTCCCAGCATTCCCAGTAAGTTGTAACAACTTACAAAACAGTTCTGGGTCTAAAATCTGATTGGTTGAGCCACATTTGAAATTGCTGCAAAATTCTTTATTATGTACTGTATTGTTCTTGGTATAAAACTTGATCATTATGTTTATGATCTTATGGTATCCATTGCCTACTGTTGCTCGACTGCACTGCTTGGCAGAAGAATTGTTCATTGTATTATTAGTGGAGTCAAAATTAGTGCATTATTAAAACTAGAGGATGCTTTCAGCAGACTATGCTGAACAGTGCTTGAGGGAGAACTACGTCAAAAATCAATGAGCAGAAACAAGATCAACAGTAAAGAAGACAAAATCAACAGTAAAGCTGAAGGTTCCAGATGGGAAACAAGTGTAATTGCTACAATCACGTTTATATCATATGTATCACCTTAATTTACCATGTACATGTAGCATTCACATGATTTTCATGCTGAGGGTAATGTGAACACTGCCTTCACACAATGAAAATGTTAGAATTACTGAAAATAATAAATGTGTTCTGATGCAGTTTATTTTGTTCAGTTGTTAAGCTAAAACAAAATGCACAGCTTTTTCTTAAAATCTCTCGTTAGGGCTTTTTTCCATCAAATAAGATTAATGCACTTAAGATTAACTTCACAAAATAATGTTAATTGCAATTACTGGAATTGTTTGACAATCAAAATTATCATTAATAAACTAAATTATATATTGCTCACTGGTGAGTAAAGCATCATGACTAACATCCCTAATGAACCATGGCAAAATTACTGTAATGCACAGCTTCTCATGGCTTATTGCTTTGTTAAATGTGCATTGATTATCCACATTATTAGTTATGAGGGTAAACAGCTATTCAGACACTTTTTTGTTATTAAATAAAAGTGCATATATCCACATCAAACATACACAGAGATATGTTTAAAAGGTTACAGAAACATAAATTAAGTTTTACATATTAATGTTGAAAAACAAGGTATGCAGGTTGGACCAGGTGTCATTCTAAAAGATGCTGGCATTGGTTGGGAGGTTTCCAGTGCAATAAGAAGCAATCATAGTGCTTGTCTCAGGGACAACATTATTAAACCACTTTTAAATGGAAAAGGCTACAGAGCCATAAAAATTACCATCCATGTTAGTACTACTGGTTTGATAATACGCAAGCGGAAAGCTCATGGAACCACAACTAATCGTGCTCAGACACGTGCACCATGCAACACTTCACAACATGATCTCAGACTAACAATACGGAACAAGAGTTGCAGGACGACCTGGAAGCAGCAGAAACAACTGTTACACAGAAAACCATAGGCAATAAACTGCATGCAAAGCATTAGGAAGCATGACTCCAAATATACAGTACAAATAACTCAAGATTGGTTTCTAAAAAAAAAAAGATGAAAGTTTTTGCATGGTCTAGCCAGTCTTTTGACTCGAATCCCACTGAAGTCACAAGTAAATCACAAACCCTCAAAAAGCTAATTACTTCTTACTGTGGATGTTCTGAAGCTCTAAATACTTCTTCCCTTTATCAACTGTAGTTTTTTAAACATATCTACCACTTGTGAAAACAAACTTTTTGGTTCATATTTGTAAGTACAAAGTCAAAAGACGTGTGTAAATTTAGATCTATGCACTGGATGTAAATTAAATAATAAAAACTAAAGAATATTGGTTCCACCTTACTGTATGAATAGAAATGTATCAGGTAAAATTTCTTCTGCCACCTCTTTATACACGGACACAGAAGTTCCAAGCCTGTGTCACAACACCAAGATATAAGTTGGAGTTCCCCAAAGCATTTGGTTCTACCACACTTTCACTGTAGAACTGAGCAAAGCCAATCTGACTGACTCCTATGGTCATTCTCTACAACCTAAAAGCCCCCACATTCCCCTCTAACTAATCGTAATAAGAAAAATGTGTGTTTATTCTGCAAGTCATTTCATATAACGAAAGCATTTCAACTTGTTTTTTTTAACATTTCACCTGCTACACAGGAAAACACCCAACTACTGTAATGTAAGCTATGCTCAGGTCAGAGCAGATAGAATATTTAAACAGCAGTTAAGTGACTGACCTTTTTTTAAGCAAAAAAACTGATACTCTGTTGTATTAATTAAGTAACAAAACCAAAGCTTTTGAGATGTTTCTTTGCTCTTCTATAGAGTTTTAGGTTTCTAACCAGAAACCAAAAAACAGTTCAAAGGCACAGCTTTGTAAATGAACTAAGCTTACTGAAAAATTTAATAAAACAACATTTTGATGTGCTTTATGAAACTGTACTTCTCGCACTGTCAAGAAGACATGGCAGAGAAACAGCCAAAGAGAAGAAGATCTGAAGAACAAAGATTGATAAAGAAGTTCTTAGATCAAGCAAAGGCAAAGACCTGTTAACATCAGTGAGGCATTTCAATGGTGGAGAGACCTCTGAGAGTAAAAAGTGCTTCTGTACAGCTATACGTTTCATGTATAGTTTTGATGCTCCTCATCTGTTTCTTTCAACAACAGTCTCTGAAGCAGACTGACAGCAGAAATCACATCCGAGGCTCACTTGTGGAGTGGCTTCTCTGAGTCTTCTGTTTGGCTGGTTGAGCTGTAGAAGCATATCCTCTAAACCCAGACATAGACTTTTCATGATTTCATCTTGTTCTTTGGTGACTCACAATGTACATTTGAATAGACCGTCATGTACGGACAAAGCCTAAGATTTACACGCTCACCCTGTCTGAAAACGCTTCGTCTATGCTACGAGAAACGCAGCCCTTACAGACAGCTCTGTCCATGAACAATGTTGAATAAAGCTGTTTCATTCAAAATAACACACTGCATGCTGAGTACTGAGCAGAAACGCAGAGAAACTGAGCAGCACTGTCAACACTGTGCACTGAAGCTAAAGAAAATGGTGATGTACACAGTAGGACAATACAGTCTCTCTACAGTCTATTTTACAAAGACAGTTTAAAAAAAAAAAAAAAAAATCAACATTTATACCTCTCAATTCTACTCAGTCAAATAGAGTAAAGCAGGCATAGGCAGACTTTAGTACGAAATGTCAACATTGCTGCCTCTGCTTTGTTAGCCTATGTGTCTCCCCTCGTATTGGGGAAGTGTTTGTGTTTGTGTGTTTAAAAACAAGCTAAATTGCACCATGAATTCCTGGTGGAAATATACCAAGTTGGGATGTTTAAAGTGACCAACGGCTTTGTGTCCAACGGCCACTGAGTCAGTCACACTTCTCTGTGTGAGCAGAGCCTCCTTCACTGTGTTTGTTCATTAGCGCAACGCCTACACTTGGCTAACGTCACGTGGATGGGGTTATGCCGCGGACCTGATATGGCCTGTGGGACTTGTGTTTGACGTCTGTGGTCTAGAAGACCAACACACATTGTGCATCAACACTACAGGGTAAAGTTCTTTAGGTACAGACAGGGTGAGAGGATATGGTGTGTATTTGTTTGAGTTCTGGATTAAGCATTAGTATCTGCTTACGGGTAGCCTAGGAAGAGCAGGTTAAGCACTGAGTGAGTCTTGAAGAGGTTGACGAGGGTCCAGCACAAAACCCAACCACAAAGGGTCAGCAGGCTCAGCCGGGCCACAATCAGAAGCACGTACTGCACCAACGATGAGGGGCTTGTCTGAGAGGCCTAATATATGAAAGGAGGCAAAAAGAAACAAATAAATCATTAAATGTACTGAATGTATTGATGTATCAATGATAGATTAGTGTTTGGTATTTGAACAATGAAACCTCTTTCCATACTTTGTGCCACTTGAATTAACCCACTGCCATAAATGAGGTCTTCAAATCCAGACCTTGAAACCATTTTCCATTCTAGATTTTGTAATTGCTGATACACTAGGATGCCAATAAGATAAATCAACAGTTCAGCTACCTACATTACTGACTAAAAAGTCCAGGACTACAAACTGGACCAAATGTCCCGATTAGAGGACCCCTGCACAAGACCACAGCGCTAAATAAGGCTTTGATCACAGTCACTCCATTAATAATATCAATAAACACTATGTGAACTGTAAAAATAATTGTACAACTGCCTCTCATGTATGTCTCATGTATCCTGAAAACAGTTTGAAGCATTGTGATTACATTTTCGCCATATCACCTACCTCTACTGTATATAAATGTAGGCCTATACACAGTTTTAAATAATTATCTGACTCTGATTATCTTCTTAATTCACTGCAGCACATGGCCAATCAGAATTGGAAATATAAAATGCTGGCAAACAATTGTGGACATGAACAGTTTATTTAGACATTCAGATATTTTCTAACCTCCTAAGGTCCTTTGTATGTCCACATTCTAAGGTTTTCAATAACTACAAAGAAAAAATATTGAAAATGATTGTTGTGAAAGTTACTGTGAACTTATAAGAGTGAGGAATGAAAGGCTGGGAGTGCATCGAGCTCTTTCTTCTTTGTTGTTTTATGGACTTATACACACAAAAAAGGTACCTCTGAAACGATGGTCCACACTAGTCTTCTGGCCAGCATCACAGTGATGAAGATAGCCAGGTGGTAGTCCATCAGATAGAAGTTCTAGAAATAGGAAGAAATCACAAATTTAGACATAATTAATTACTGAATTCCACTGTAAACTGCTTAATAAACTTATTTTTTTAATCACGTTTACTGCTGCAGATCCCTTATTTATCAACACAATTTAACAGGTGCTTTTGTACAGCAGTCACACTTTTGAATTTGGACTACTTGTAAGAAGGCAGCAACAGAGAACACCTGTTGAAAACTTATTCCACAGAAACTAGATTTAAATATAGCAAGAGTATTTTTACATAATCAACACATGTTTAACCTTTATCTGAAAAAGCTAACTATAAGCTTTAACACTCTGTATGTGTACTGCTTGCTTTCTGATGCATACAAATGTAGTAATAGAGAAAATAAGTATGTTGTCACTGTCCAAAGGGGAAAAAAGAAAAAAAGATTTTTTTTTTTGTGATTAGTTTTTTTTTTTAGTTTTCTGCATAATTTGAGCTTTGCAGATGTCCTTTACAAATTTCTTTATGATTGGACCAAAACAAATGCTCCAACACTGCTTCAAATAAATCTCTTTACATTAACTTACATTGAAAGTAAAGAATGTTTTTGCCCTCTCCTGTTAAGTTACCATTTTGGACAAAACAATGGGGCCAGAAAAAAATTACACTGTTTGGGATCTATCGTAACTGAAATTCTTGAAACTTTAAAATCACAGGATTACTTATGTCCAACATCTCTCAAAATTTCTAAATTAATTAGTTAACAGATAAGCTCCCTAAACAAGACAGACAGCTTTCTTATCTAGGCCTTAACTGCTGATTAGGGAAGCATACATTGGTGGCTAACGTGTTATCAATAAATTATCTGTCGAACAACATCATTATTATTGGGCCACTACTGAAATTATAGCTGATGGCTAGCTTATTTACCCACTAAAGCTTGTGCAGTCGTGCATATTGTCACTAGCGATGGGAATTTCCCTTCTTGTAGACCCCAAAGCAACCTCTACTGGCTGCTGCGAGTTTCCTTGAAACAGCCACTAATGGCATGTAAAGTAATTTACTGACGTGAGTTCTGACCGAAACCAAATACCCAAAAATAGTGTTAAAAATGGCAAGACATACAGAATTTGAAACTGTTCAAATGTGATTAATATCCTATATGAATCAGCTAAACCTATTAGCCTGTTACCTTGTTCAAATATGCTAATATATGCAAGACAAATGACTGGGGATCCAATCAGCTTCATTTTGAATGTCAAAACTAGAGTCAAACTAGAGTTTCCTTTTGTGTAAACATTTTTTTTTATTGTTGTATATTCTCTTCCCCTTCAGTTTTCCAAAATATTTAGTGAAGCACAAAGTCATAGCTAGCGGCAATTATTCTACTGTGTAGCTACTCTGTATTTTTATAGCCTAGGATCAGGTTCATCACTGGGTAATGATAAGGATCCTGAACACTGTTAGTTGTTGTCAGTTAATGCTATATTGCTGTTCTTTAACTTTAGAAATTCTTATTTTTTATTCACACACTATTGTGAATGGCATTATTTTGATCTGATAAATAAGGTAAATATTTCATAAAATTTAAAAATATAATTATATAACAATACGATACAGAAATGGGTCACGATAAGTTGTTGATTAGCAATTATCATATTAAAAATTCAAAAAATTCAAAATCAGTTCATCGCTGCTGCTGCAAAAACCTGCACTGTGGGGTTCATGATGGTGTCTATGGTCTGATTCACTGAAAATATCTGTGGTATCTTAAAACGGCAAAGATAAACGTCTGTGTGCCCAGGCTATTGTGTGTGTGCAGTTAGCCTCCACACTTTTGTGGAGATAACTGCGCTATGGAAGCAATTTTTACAAAGTCTTTGCGTGACTAGATGAGCAGGTTATGTATGTTACACGTTTTAAGATGTGCTTTAGTAAAGACCATAAACTACATTTTTAACTACTACTAGTTGCTCTAGGTAATTACTTACCTGATTAAGGCTTATTTGACAAGAACTTAATATATTAAAGAGTCTCATCAAAGGCTGAGCCCACACCAAGTTAGTGTACTGAAACATTAAGTGCATGAGTACTAGAAATGCCCCTGAAATTTCAGCCATGCAAAAGTAGTCAAAAGTGGCCCTTTTAAAAAAAAAAAATGGTCAAAAGTGTTTTTTTGTTTTCTGCACCGATCAGCACAGACACATTCAAACAGTTTGAGCAGCAGCAAGGAAAAAAAACAGGTTTCACAGTTTATGAGGGACTTAAACAAGCGATTTATAAATTATGTTCATGTTGAGCATGCAGAAAGGGTATGACACTCAATAGTGCCTGATCAATTAAGGATTTTTAAGACTGATTCCGATTTCGATATTTAGGGATTTTAAAATCAAACATATTGGCTGGTCTTCTTCTTCTTCTTCAAAGATTTTCCCCAACATTTGTTACATGTAGATATTCAAGAGTCCTCACCAAAATAACATGACATAATGCAACTTAAAAATAAACATGCAACTTTCACGCTGTACTGATACGAACATCAATAAACATCTGTCATATTATCATTTAATTTAAAGATTATCTGGATTAATCATCAGAAGCACCTGAACATGGCATGTTAAGCCCGTTAAGGCCGTTACACACAACTTGAAATTGTAAAATATTAAATTTTTTTTGCATGAAAACTACACACAACAGATACGATTTTTTCTTTTGTCAGATTGTTCCTGCCATGAAAACAAGACAGTCAGAACATCTATGAGAAGGTCCTTTACTTCTCCCAAAATGGGCAAACTGTAACAGTGTGCAGGTTTTGGAAAACCGAAAGGAGAATGCAGAGTTTCTCCACTTTATTTGAGGACCTAAAACTTCATGAACTCTTCCATGAAAGAGTTCATAAAACTAAAGCTTTCACTCACAGCTCAGTCTTCAAGTGCAAAGATCTCATTTTCTCCTCACAGAATGGGCAAACCAGACACTGTGCAGGATGCTTTCCACTTCAAAAAGTTTCTCCACCTCATTTCAAGGGCTAAAATGCTTCCTCACAGGTCGGATCTCCATAACTTAGCCTGAGCTGATTTTGGAGATACAGCCCCACACAAGACAAGTGCCTTCAAGTGCAGTAAGACCTCCTTTGTTCCTCACAGAACAAGCAAACTGACGCAGCTACTATCCATTCTGGACAAGTGAACATAGTGTGAGGCACCAGAATGTAACTGCTGTATCATTTAAGGTGGAACAGGAAATTTGAAAAAGAAGCTGGTGAATAAGAAGTTGACTTGATTTAGGGAGAATAAGTCAAACGCTATAGTTTAACTATATTTAACTGACACACTGTTTCATAAATAAATCCACAATCAAGTTTGTCAACAGCTTAGTCTACAGCACTCAACTACCATAACTGTGATGTTCGCACCGGTTTTCACGTTACTGCAGCAAAAGCAGGCATGGCTGACATGAATGTTGCCAGGCTATTTAGGCTAAGCAGAGAAGTGATGGGGATATTTTTATTATTATTTAAGTAACGCGTTACACATGACATTTAACAGCTTATCATGAACGCAGACTATCTCCATCATGGAGTACTCAACTCTGATTGGGTCAGCAGATTGTTGTGATTTAAGGTGTGTTGCCAACAGAGAAGTTGCAGAGCGCCCTTTGATGGATAAACAATGCAACAACACTCAGGGGTGAAGGATCTGTCTTCCGCCTCTCCATTTTTTTTTTTTGGTCATTTACTGGCATTTATATCAGCCAATATAAATCTGCAACTAGCTCACTTTTGGCCATTACGCACATCAATTTATGGGTTAGGCTAGAGCTGGGCGATATGGCCAAAAACATTATCATAATAAACAAAATTCATATCGTTCGATATCGATACATATCGCGATAAATGTCAAATCATTATTTCTTTCACGTTTGAAGGCTGATTTTGCTCCTGGGTGGTTTTAAACTATCACTTATGGTCGGATCATGACAAACACTCGGCAAACAGTGGAACATTTCACAAATCTGTCTTGGGACAGTGGGAGAAAGTTTCTGAGCTGTTTTTATCAGCTTGAAAAGCACAGCTGCAATTTTTGTAATAGTCATAATTTAAGAAAGCAAACAGGTTATTTTTAGCTGTCTGGTGACGAGCGCTCGGTTACCCCGTTACAAATACTAAACAAGCTGCCAACAACAGTGCTAAACTCTTTAGTTTCTCAACAACGTCAGCTCGGTTCGGTAGGTCACTGCTGTCACTCCTACCACATCCATGTCAGAGCAGATCACAGTATTCAGACACCAGCTAGCGACGGCTGGGTTTCTCTATGCTATCATAGTAGTTTAAGGGGTGAACCGCAGTATATCTGACGTTCCCTGTGTAAAAGCATTATCTGCAGTGTGAATCTCTCACACCAGTCACAGAGTCCTCCTTTTAGGCATGTTTAAACTGAAAGCGGTGATTTTATGTCTTGTTTGATCTACAGTATCATCAGTTCACCGTGTTTTGCCGGAGCGCTGCTTCAAGTTAGCCAGCAGCTAAAAACAGCTAGCCTGGAAAGACAGCGCTCTCCCGCTCTCCAATGCCTCACAGCTTCCTCAGTTTACTTTCGAACATGAACCACTTCTTTCTTTCACTTTCGTTGCCCGAGAATGCACTAATACTAAAATATGACGGTTTGGCGCTGTAACACGGCGCTGCAGACGTGATTTAACACCGCTAAAGTTGTTAGGATGCACGGAAAGAGGTGAGTTCACTGTAGGACAGTACAGTTACACCACTGACCTCGTCACTCACACTCGGTCACAGGAGAACAGATCGCCGATAACATCCACTCAGACAGGGACTGTATAACTCCGCGTTTCAGCCGTTGCTAAAGTATATCTGGCGACCCTTTTTTACTCATGGCTCCCTCCCTCTCTAATCAAGTCGAAAAATTCGGAAGTGCGCCCTCTCCTGGCGACAGCAGAGTAGTGTCGCTTTAGTTGCAGTAGAAAACGCCACCAGGGCTTCCGCTAAAACGTGGAAGTGTGAGAACGGTGTATTATATGGAACATTTATCGAACCTGTCTTATCGCTCTATCGAGGAAAAGTTATATCACGATACTTATCGTTATCGTTTTATCGCCCAGCCCTAGGTTAGGCTCTAACTAATACTCAAGAAACTCTCCACAATAGGGTTGACACCACTTCACTTGACATGCAGAATACAGCAAAACAACAGAAGCAGAAAAGACCCATGCCGACGCCATCTATAGCTTCACTTTTTGAAATGACAACAAACATTTCACAAAAAAGTCTAACTTTACAAAAGAAAAAAAAATTCACTGCCTTCAATGACCAACCATCCTCTGTTCTCTAGCACACTGGAGTTCATAGGCACATACTGTAGTGATTTAAGTTTATATAATGCAAACTATATTTGTCAGATCAATTTTGTCTTGTTGGTACCAGATTTTATCGGCAATAAAAGTGTATTTATGTTTAGTAGTTTTATTCAAAAGCATAAATAAAACAACAAATGAAAATTCGTTTCAGCCTTGAATTTTCATTTCGGTGCATCACTAATAAGTACGTAAGTAACTTTTACTCACAAAGCTCCCCATGTAAAATAAGGTAAGTGCTGCACTAGATGGCATAAACAACAACTATGTATACCTACATACAGGTCAGCAGTACCCACCAGCGAGGTAGAGGCAGCAGGGTGGCTGTGAGGATACCACCATACAGTCCTGTAGATGTTAATGTACTGCACGAAGAGCGCCACCAGCAGGTAGAGGAAGAGCAGGAACTCAAACAGCAGGGTGCTGTCCAGAGGAAGCTCCGGGATACGGGAGTGACGCACAGGCTCCGGCGTGATCAGGGTTGTGAGGGGTGGGGCTGACAGGCCCACTGAGTTACTGCTCCTGTGGAGGGAGGAGAATGGAGAGAGCTGCTATATTACTGCTATAACACCAGCATAACATCTTTGATCAAATTTACTATTCATTTCTAATTAATAGCAGTTCTATTACCTCTCATAAATGCTGCTGAAATGCATAATAACGTCTGCAAGCATGTTGGCCATTGGAAAATCTTAACAGATGCATCTATCTAAATGTGAGAAAAGCCTTGCCCGGGCCCTTTCGCCCTGAGCGTCCTATGAACAGTAGAACTGTCTATTAGGGACATGCATGCATACTCAAGCACTCTTAACAGTTCAAGGTATCAGTATTTGAATACTGAAATCACTATTTAGGTATTCATTATGTTCATGGGAAGACGGAAATAGAGAAGAAAAAAGAGAAAATACAAAGGCCAATAATTCAGTAAAACTCTGTTTTCACAGAACTAAAACGTGACAGTTTTGTATATATTTGTGAGACAGCAAGTACATTATACTTTGAAACTACAAAAAACGACTGCCTAAATGTGAGTGTTATTACTCAGAACTAACAGAAAATACCTCAGAAAATACCTCAGTGTAAAAACGATGAGTTCTTATCATCTAGTTAAGCTATTAACTCTGTTAGCCTGTTAACACAAGGGATTGGATCAATTAGTTAATCTGAACAGGCAACCTCCATGACTCAACCACCATGAAAACACACCTATTTCCCTTGGCTGTTTACTTAATAAAATACATTTTCAAACCTATTGCTCTTGTGTTACTGATTTTTAGCCTCTTAACATCATTTACATTACCTAAAAAGAAAAGCCAACAGCTCTACATTAATTTTGGCCGAAGTTCCTTTTTTCGTCAATGTTTTCTTGTTTACTTGAAAATCAAAATTAGTCAGAATGCACAACCCTTCCTAGAACAGCTCTGTTTGATCAAACGGTACCATTCTTCATTTTTAAATACTATTATTATTCTTGTTATCAGGGCTCAGACATTAGCAATCGCATAATAAAATAGACTTAAGCAAGTAAGGCACCAAACCAACCAAAATTATATGCCACAAAATACTTTTACCTTCTCTCTCTTTCCTTGTCTCTCATACCCATTACTGAAAGTGTGAAAATCAACGGAGCTTATAGAGCAAAGCTACTCAGTTTATTGAATTTCTTTCATTTGTCTAGAACAGAGTATTGATCTTAACTATCGATTACAGATTTTAAACTACTTAAGCAACAAACCGCACTGGCTAATTGGGTTAATCAAATAGAAAATTTAAGAGCAACTCTGATATTTCAAAGAGATAACTTATGGCGTTCACCAAATCAGAAAATTCATTTAAATATACAGGTCTAAATTAGAATAATAAGTCAGTCAAACAATTGGCCCACAGGGCTGGTAGTGTGAGACCTGCACAGTGTACACGTTGCAAAGGCTCGAGGAGAATTTATTTTCTTCCGTATGTTTATCACTGGATAGAATATTTCACATACTCATGTTTGGTTACTGAACACCAATTGAACTGTGGATTCAGTTTCTGCCTTCTGACAAAATCCTTAGGACTGATCCATACTTTAACACACCTGCAAACAAGACAACCCTTATACCCTATTTGGCCACAAGTATGTGGACAGCCCTCCTAATTATTGAGTTCTGGTGTTTTAGCTGTATTCACTGCCAAAATGTTTATAAAATCAAGCATAGACTTGCAATTTCTATACACAAACACTAGCAGTAGAATGGGCCGTACTGAAGAGCTTTGTGACTTTAAACGTGATATTTCTGACAGGACGGCACCTCTGCCACAAGGCAGTTTGTGAAATTTCTGTCCTGCTAGATCTGCCTCGATCAAATGTAAGGGCTACGATTGTGAAATTGAAGCATCTAGGAGCAACAACAGCTTAACCACGAAGCGGTAGACCATGCAAACTCAGAGCGGGGCTGCCAAGTGCTGAAGCACATAGAGCGTAACAATTCTAGAATTGTGTACGAGTAGTTTCATGAACTGGGTTTCATGGCCAAGCAGCTGCACATAAGCCCAAGATCACCAGGCGCAATGCCAAGCATCAGCTGGAGTAGTGTTAAGCATGTTCCCAGCAGACTCTAAAGCAGTGGAAACGTGCTCTCTAGGGTGATGAATAACGCTTCACTATCTCACAAGTCTGGGTTTGGCAGATGCCAGGTGAACGCTACTTATCGGAAGGCCAACAGTAAAGTTTAGTGGGGGGGGGGCTGTTTTCCAGGGTTTGGGCTTGGCCCTTAGCTTCAGTGAATGGTAAAGTAAATGCTTTAGGACATAGACAATTTAGATAATTACACGCCTTCAACTTTGTGCCAACAGTTTGGAAAAAGCTATTTGCCCACATAATTTTGACCACATAGTGTGTATTATGGTGACAGGTCACCTTTCTTTTATAATCCATCATTTAAATTATACAGCTCCTTCACACCCACTCAGTCAAAACACGGTATTATCCATTTGTCAAACATCTTCAAAGAGAGCCGTTTTATGACCTTTGATAGGTTAAAAGAACAATACCACTTACCTGGTGAAAACATGTTTGAAAACATTCAGCTGAAAGCAGTTGTGAAAGACTGCAAGACAGCACCATCCTTGCATGGACCACGTCATTACTTCATACTTCAAATGATCCGCTTCAAATACCATACGAATTATCAAATGGATAACACCATGATCTCAATACCACAACCAACAGCGGTAAAGTGCTGGTAATAATATATTTTCACCTAATATACAATAAACTACAGTTGATCCAACACAAGATACTACATAACACCAAGCTTACAAAGCACAAACTTTACCTTATGTGCTGCACTATGTCAGATAAATGTACTTTATGCTTACACAGTCTCTCCAACAACATGCTGGATTTGCACACAGGTGGTGACCTTTCGATCAGAAGTCTTTAAATGACAGCGTCCAACTATCTGCCTCTATTGACCTTCTGGGTATGTTCACAACATTGGTAACAATATTAACATTAAAACTGTAACATCAATCAGTATAAATCCTTTACTTTCATCTCATCAAGAATAGCAAAAAAGGTGCTTTTAGACTGAAATGGAAAGATGGGAGCAAAATAACAGCAGAATAACGGCTTAAGTCATTAACTGACCACACATGCATACAAAAACCTCCAGTTACACTGAAGGACAACATAAAAACATTTATAACACCTGGCTTCCATTCATTCACTTCCTAATGGAGCTGATTCCACACCTCTTCATAACGTCTTGAAACTCTCTAAAGCACATTTAACCCATAAACTACAATCACCTGGCTACTCTATATCATTTATTTAGACTACAGGCCATACGACAATTTATCATCATTACTGTGATACATCGCAACACAATGCACTTCTCTGAGGATATCAGGAGTATGGTAAACAAGCACCAGTGTACAGTAACTGCACAAACCGAATAGAAAGTAGATGATTGGATTCTTTATGCCAGTCTTATTAATTTATGTGCACCAATGATTGGTAAAACTTGTGTACCTTTGTCTAACACGGGTCTGTTTTTGCTGCAGAACCATTTAACCAATCGCCTACCTGTACACATATACATCGGCCTAAGTTTGACTGTTACGCTCATGACTACGCCAGGGTTTATATATTGGTATATGATAAAGCAAATACTGGTAAAAACTCTGCTGGGCAAAATAAATTCCTGCTGGACAAAAACTGTGATAAAAATATTAAAATTTGAAGTAAACAAAATCTGTGGCAAAATGTCCTGTTGCTATTTTGCATATGTGAAGGAGGTCATGCCCTGGACTGCTGCCCTTTAACTGACTCCACAGTATCCATGCTACATGTGAGACATTTAACAAAAAAACATCCTGTGTGGTTTATTTTTAACTTTATCTCCTCATCATTTTCCACAGGGTTGGGATGTAACGGAATACAAGCATTGGGATTCTGTGTTCAGTTCAAATTACATTTTATAAAGACTGTACTGAGAATACAGTTACCTTTGAAAATTTTCAGAAGAATACTTTTAGAATATCTACCCAATAAATAAATACAAAAAAATACAATCTTTTAAAGTAACACCATGAATTAATTTTATTAGTTTATTAACCATTTTAATATGAGGACACGTAGCAACCATGTTCGTTAGACAAATTCTAAAGTTTGTTTACATCAATGGCTGCTGTGGGAGCAGCAGTGGACTGAGGCAGGCGATGAGAGCCAAAACAGCATTGAGAATTACGTAAGTTCATTTTAATCATAAGCAAATTTTTCTTCTTAACAGAAGAACTATACAAAGAAAACTGCAAACCAGTAACAGCAAACAGCAGTGGGAATCAACGTGGGTTTTTCCATGTGCCTTATCATCATGTATTGTAAATGTACTCTGAATAAGTTACTTTATGTGTTGTAATGAAATACCTCACTGAATACATTTATGACAGTGTATTCAGAATTCAGCTGTTACTACTTTTTCAAAATACTTTGTCCAACTCTGCATATCAACAACTTCTATCAAAATGCCTTTTGAAGTCCTGCAGCTATCGGCCATTTTCATTTTTGAAAATTCTGTAGAATGTTATCTCGAATATTTGTATATTCTATAACAATGAGAAAAGACATTATTGATTTTATTACTTGATGAACAGAAAACAATGATTACTGTTTGCTTATTTTTATCATGGGCGCTGCATTAAAATTCTGACAATACCCAATCTGGCAACCCTGGCGGAAGCGGAGAGCAGAAACAGTGTATTTTAAACCAACTTTGAGTTAAGCTCGACAGTGAACAGGGGGGAGAGGAAAATTTTTAAGCCACTCAATAACGCTTCCTTCAGACCAAACGCAGCCATGTTTCTTAAAGTAAGTGCTTAAATACAGACTCCCTCATTCAAACAGCTATGCTCAAATGTTTTCTACAGACACTTTACTTAAATCATTTATGAGTGTAAATACAGATCTGATGGTCAACAAATATATTTGAACATTATCCATTGTGATAAAACACAGAAAAGTGAACCGAAAAATGCTCTCAGGCTCACTGATAAAGCTGCGGTGCTTTGGGTTAAAAGCAGTTTCAGGAGTGCTAGATTAAAGCTTGAGCGCATCTCAAGCTTTAGACACATATGACTTTAATTTTGCAACAGCCACGAACACACACAGAATATATAATGTTGGCACAATGCTGACTCATGTCTAACCTACCATGTCATGTGATTACAAAATATAAGTGGTTTTGCACAACAACCAATACACAACTGCAATTTTACCCATTTGTCCAGCAAACTCACTCATTCCAAGACACCATAACTGGCACCAAAGCTGGCCTGGTCTGTGTACATGTTATCATGTATTACTAGAATTCACTAAACTAAGTAGTCGCTACCCTCCACTATATACTATATTACTGGAGATCATACCTGCTCCTGGGTCCTGTGCCGTTGCTGAGGCCGCCCCCCACCAGAGTCTGCAGGGAAGGCAGCGCCGAGCGGCTGAGCTGCTGTCTACTCGGACCCCTGCGGCCCCCGGGCATGTCCAGCTCCCACGTCGACCACCACCACAACCCCAGCAGCTCCCAGTGACCACGTCCTCACGGCCTCGCCCAGCGCAGCCCAGCCGCTGGATAGACAGGAGGAGAAAAAGAATCAGAAAGTAATATTTCGGCAAAATAAAATGCACATGCACTTGGCAGGGATGGACACTGCCAGAACATTGTCTCTTCTGAAGAGCAGAAGAAAGCCAGCTGCCCAGCACATTAACTCAGAAAACAGGCAACAGAATGATTCATAAAGGAAAAGTACAGGACAATGGGTGTGAACATTTTTAAGAGGGTCTGATCCACCCGTAACTAGGGCCGAACAATACTGAGGGAACAGTCATACTGCTTAAATACTCATCATGTTCAATGGAAATTGTACATTCTCAAAGAGAATTAAGGCAATAGTACCATTCTCTGCTTAGGGCTTAATTATATGGACAAAATATCAGACTGAAATTATAGTGCTACATATTGTGATAGCAATTAACCTTTCAATATACTGAAAACATACCTCTAACCTCTGGATGTGGCGTTAAGATTAATCTGCATTAGGACTGTTGTGGACACTAATTCACACAGAACATCTGTGATTGGTCAGGATGCTCCCAGCACACAATGAAACATTCAGAGACTGGCAGAAGGGCTCATCTGAATACTACACACTTATATCAGTTTTGTGAAGTAGAGCTGAACAATTTGGGCAAAATATTTAACTGCAGTACTGCGCAACACAGTCAGTTAGCTCTGGTTGTGCTGTCACATATACAGCAACTACTGAGTGTTTGGTTGCTTCTGACTGGTCTAAGCTCTGTGTCATTAGGATTAAGGTGCCCAAGTAAAACCTGTTAAGGCAAAGTTGTTGGTAAAGTAGATTCTGAAAATTGCACTCTATCAAATTGTAATTTCAATATAAAAAAGATACTTTCAGCCCAATTGTGAAGGCAGATGATTCGATCATGATTATTGAAAAACATATTATGCAGCAACATCCATAATAAATGAACTGAAAAAAGAAACATTCTTTTTCAATTTTAAGAATTAAACCACACAACCAGATCTCTCTCTCTCTCAGCAGACATTTGTTTACACTAAATAATGTAATTTACATTAAAAGAGAAAATACTGGCCTAGTAAATAAGGAAACTGGGTTATATGTTATAAAGCTGCATGGTTCAAAGGGTTCATTGCAAGGCTTTAATTATTTTATGATGCTCTTTTGACAGAACTTAGTTAAGTCACGCTTGTAAAATTATCTGTTGATGATATCCAACATTAGAAAAGACAGGCCTAAGAGATACATTAATAAATAAAAGAAAGAACAAAAAGCTTAACGTTGCTCCACTTTCTAATAGGATGACTCCAACGAAGGGAGGAATTCCCTATAGGTGACTTCCCACCACACAGAAAACCTAAAGACTTCCAGTGACACGTCAAGATAGAAAAAAACCCTGGAGATATGCTGCGAACCACAAAACACTGGAATGCAAAGGAGGCATCAATCTCTCACAATGTTATGCAATGACAAATATGGACCCTCAAGAACTATGATTATGTGCATCAGACTACAGGCTACAAAAAATGCACTTTCTAACCCAAAAAAAGAGATTTTAACCATAACAGAAAATGCTGAGGAACAACAGCTTGAAATCATCACATCAATAAGAGAGTATCATTACAATACCATTGTTATCATAATACTGGCCTTCGCCAGATCGATATCTCTGGCAAGTCAGCAAATGTTATTTGGTGCTGTCAGCATCCTGACCAAATCTCAGAACTTCCAGGTGAGTTTTGATGAATAACAACATTCACATGATCCAACAAAGGCAACATGATTTTTATTCAAAGCAGATTTCAAAATTTTTATACAATGACTCTGAAGTAACGGCTCACTGAAAAATCAATTTTACACAGTGTAACCTTTAATCCTACAAGCAGCTAATCAGCCAAGACATGTTTGGTGTCTGATGTTTGCTCGTTTTGCCCTGGAGCTAAGAGGCCAATGTAACAGAAGTCTACATCTGATCTTCCAATGTACTGCAGTCGCAGTTATGTGTCTATATAATTGCGATAAGGTATTTATGTCTATACTGTTTAGCCCTTCAGTTAGTGTCTGGTGTCAGCAAATTCTTTAAAAGGTGTTGAGATGTAAACAAAGTCATTCAGAGTGGTTTGGTGTAAAATGCTCCGTTCTAGAGAAACTTAGAGTCAGAATTGTGCAGCACTGGTGATAGGAACCAAACATCCACCTCTAGAAACTCCTTCATAGAAAGCTATTACATTAAATGGTTATGAATACACTGCCTAACACATTGTCTGATGATAGTTTTGTGATGAAATATTGGTCTAAAATGTATTTGAATCCATTTATTTTAATCCAATTGTGGTAGAAGGGTACACACAAGGAATTGTGGGGCAAAATAGTCCACAAAAAAAAACTTTTTTTTCAGATTGATGACTACCCTTATCAACATTACATATTAAAAACTCATAAGACACGTGTACCGTAGGTTCACTTGTGGTTTTGGATAGAAAATAAAATGGTTATACTTGAGTTGCAGTCCTTGTGACCCCTGGTTCCTATCAGCACCACTGTAAAGAAATCAGAGCCTGTAAGTTTCTCTACAATGAATCATTTCACGTCAAACCACTCTGGATGTTTGTTTACATCTTAAGGACTGAATTATCCAGAAATCTTGAAAAACAGGTGGAGTTCCCCATTAAGTGTGTACTGAATTTCTCACCATATGTTTGAAACTCAGGAGTCAGCATAATCAGTTCACTGCGGTTCATCTGCCAGCGAAGTGCAACGTACAGTAAAATGAGGAACCTGAGAAAACATGCGCAACGAAGCTCAACTGCGCCCAATTTCATTAGTCTAGTAAGAAACGTGCATTTTACAGCTAAAAACAGGGCCTACGCGGGTAAACAACGGTATAAATCGGACAGAAAACAGACTCTCGCTTACGAAGCTGAAGACAGCTTCTTATTCGACTTTTGGCGTTCCACCTTAAATCGTACAGCAGTTACATTCAGGTGCCTGAGGCGGCTGAATGTAACTGCTGCACTATTTAAGGTGGAACGGCAAAATTCGAACATTAAGCTGGCGAATAGGAAGCTGACTTCAGACTCATCTCTCACTTCATTAAACAACAGTTCCGTTCTGCAAGCTGACTTCGTTCCCGGAATTAAACACCTGAGTATCTAAAATAAAGTCCTTTATAACACGCAAACGCCTCTCACCACCTGGTGCTTCAGTGTCACTACAGATTAGCCAGACCTGTGGCTTCTCCTGCTTCTCCTCCTCAGGTAAAACCAACCTGTAGCTACCTTACACTTCGCCAGGTTTCGCTTATAAACCACCTTAACATTTCACAAACCCTGTACAGGCCACTAACGAAACCGGAGGCTCTTTATAAGCCGCCCACAACTGTATAAACATGTGCAAAGAACCCAAAACACACCGTTTCAGTTCGCTTTAGTTGGCCGTAACGGTAGTTCGCTCGTTAGCATAATTAGCATACGAGCTAACCAGCTCCGACGTGAAGTTGGGCTGTGTGAAGTGTAGCTACACTTTTTTTTCCACATTGACTGAAAGAAAACGGGCCGTTCTGCGTGGACAGCGAGAGTCTATCTTTGGAGGAAAAGAGCGGAAAATACTCACACATCAGTTAGAGACATCAGTCAAGCGGGGTAAAGAGAAAAGCGGAGTCGAGAGCGAACATTTGTTTCTGGTTTCTGGAAATGCAGACGCGCTCTGAGGAGGTTTCACACAGACCAGCAGCAGCTCTGCTATGCTCTGCTCTGCTCTTGTCTTGTGTGTGAAGGCGGGAAACGAGGCCACACGGGAGAGTAATACTGTCCAGCACTTTTTCCGAACAGGTAAACATTAAGTTGAGGAGGTGAGAGACTCTGCAGCTGCTGTGATTAACTGCGAGGGCAGGTCAGCTCCAGCGTCTCAGCGCTCACAGACCGACGTGGCAAAGCGAGTCCTCCCTCAGAGCGCGTCATCGCCAAAGCGACGAGGAGCTGGGCGCACATGCGCAGTGGACCAGCGCTTGTAGGAGTGGCGATACTTCTGATCATGTCTGATCGATCCTGTATTGAGAAAATACCGAGATTAACAACTCGATGCCCATCGATACGATGCTTTTAGAATTACTAAGGGGAGGTATTTTTAATTTATATTGTGCAAACCAGTAATTGAGGACATTATACGGAATTTATGAAAGCCTTTGCATGATATTGCGTTTGAGTGCTTTGGGAAACTGGGAAATATCAATTTTCACACAGTAAATTTTCACTCAAACGGTGAAGTAGTTGCATTAACAAGTAGAGAAACTTTGGGATTCTAGATCAGTGTTTCTCAAACCACTGCCCTTCACTTTTTAGTGCTTTTTTCCTGTTCCTAACACCTGATCTAACTAATAAGCCCATTTAACAGCCCATTATTGAGTTAAAATGGTTGTGTTAAAGCAGGGAAAGCCCTGAAATGTACATGGCAGTGGACCTCCAGGACTAGGGTTGAGAAACACTGTTCTAGATGACACATGAATGTACCAGATGTGACGTGTAACCCAACCTTTCACCCAAAACAATAAACTTGGTGGTGAAAAAAAAACATATCTAATGTCCATCTATGTGATCTATATACCTTTTATACAACAAAGAAAAAGCAGGAAAAATATTCTCCAGGCTTTTTCCATGTGGTGGGTGCATCTTCTAACAAACACCCGAAGATGTATTTATTAATTAAACCTCCAGTATGTACAACCTTCTGACAAGTATTAGGTGTGAAATAATCCCAAATGACATGCCATTAAAGAGCATTCAGTCCTTCTTATGTTTGTTTGTCTCTGTTTGTGTCCATGTCAGTGGTATAACCAGAATTTCATTTTAGGAAGAGCCTTAGTTCAAGTTGAGTGGGCCATGTAGAAAGCATAATGTTCCAGAGACATCACCGTAGTGAGAATTACAACCACCAACTACACCCTTAAAAATAACCGTTTTCTTTACTAAAGAATCCCATGAAGAACCATCATTTTTAAGTGTAACGTCTACTTCACAGGTATCATGTACAGAGAAAAAATATACCATTTAAACACAAATTTAATTTTAAGCACACAACTGCTGACCTTGCTTTTAACTACTTATTAGAATAACAGCTGACAGTGCACCACTGCAGGTTCTGGCTAATCAACCACAGACCATCCTTTTACAAAATTAGGCAGAGAGATCTGGGGCGAACAGCTGAAGATGGTAATTTGTTTCCATGGTAATCAACCTTGTTTTCTTTCCCACCGTCAACTTTTTTGCTTAACCAGGCAATGCTGTGTTTACAGTCTACTGTTGAAAAAAAAGACATCGGTCCATCATTTATGTAAAACAGAGATTGTATGTGACAGATAGAGGAATGCAGTCATGTAAACTTTGCCTTGGTGATAGCATCTGAGTCACTAATAAAAAACTGTGCAGAAACTTTGGTAGCACGGAGGTGCAAGAAAAAAAGTTTTCGGGGACAACCGGATAAAAGTGCAAGACGAAGATAAATTACATTTTACATTTCCACTAGAATCAAATAACTTTTTTTTTAAACAATAATACATCTAGGCCTTGCTTCTAAGTGAGGTGGCCTAGGCCCCCCAGGACCAAAACTGAAATATATAAATACTTCAGAGTCAATCTGACCTCCCCTAAGAGAGAGCATGTTTACATTATGGATGCACAATTAATTTTTTATGGCTGATTCAAATTTCTTTAGAGCCAAACTGGCTGATGGCTTTTTTTTATAGTAACTCATTATCCAAACTGCTCCTCCTGTGATGTACGTCCTGAAATCTGGAAAGTTTCTCCAAAGGACAAACTGGTTTTAAGTTTTGGCACTGCAATCATGTACAACTGCTTTTGAAGACCTGGTCAGATTTGTTAATAATTTTTTGATTGTGATTTTTCTCTGTATATGGACGTTTTGTTTGGTTTTTAAAATTTTTGTAAGGATAAAGTAAAACAGTACTTTACAGTCATTATTAACCTAATTATAATCCTAACAGGAACTTTAAACTTTACAGGAAAAGGAAAAAAACTACTTTACTTTTAATGTAAGTCAATGGAACCAGACTTTCTTCCAAGACATTTTGGGCCGTTTATTTTGGTCCATTCTTCGTGAAATTTACACACAATGTAAAGGACAACATGCAAAATGGAGACAAATGGAGATATGAGGTTTTCTTCCAACAGCAGTGATATATAACTGTTCAAATGTCAGGCCTTTTATTCATCAGTCTTGTACAATAACTTCTTGTTCATTCCAAAATACTTTAAATATTAGACACAGTCTAAAAGTAACTTTTGTTGTCTAGTTGAGTATTTAAATCTGTATTGTATAGATTATTGTATGTAAAATAACAAAAAATGATTAATTATTCATCCCTTCAATGGTAACTGTAATCAGCTTCTTTGAAAAACAACAGGAACAGCACATTTATTAAAAATGTTTTATTGCACATTTTGTATATTTTTAGATTTTTATTGCAGATTTAGTATTAACTATTAAAAAACAGACCCCTCCACCACACACATTCATACAGTATGCAAACCTTCTTCTTTAAATGATTCCTAATGTTTTTTACTTTGTCAAGATGTCTTTGAATCACATCAAACAGCTTATCACAACATCAGACAGAAAGATCACTTCATTAACATCAGAAAAGAAAATATATATATAAAAAAAACTCTCTAGGCAGATAAATACAAATGAATGGCTTTTAAATTCATATGTGTACAAGTTAAGACACCTGAGCATTTAGGTCCACTTGTGAGGCTGAAGAGAACAGTAACCCTACCAAAGGTAAAGAGGCTATAAAATGGAATTCTATATAAATGAGATACTTATTTGAGTCATTTTATGCTCCTGAGGCATTTTACAAAAAGACATATTTGAGAATAAATACATATAAGAAACATTAATTAATGTAAACAAAACAGCTTTAAAAATCAATATGTGGCCTTACTATCTAAACACACCACAAACACTAGCTTCCAACAGATCACCATTATATACACTGTACAAATACATTAATATCTAAAAAGCATCTGTTAAAGAAGCATTATATCAGGGACTAACTAGTTATAAACATTCTTCACAAAAATTTACATGTTCATTTTAGTGAAAATGGAATGCCTTCTGACTTCCTGTTTAGTGGCCACAGAATTTGACCTTTGAAATTCAGTAGCAGCTAAGGGTGTTTTCCCACTGCACATCCAAAAAACAAGAACTGACCCAAACAGCAACCAACAGGACTTGCGGTTTTAGTTCAAGGTTATTTTCCACCTACTTGAGAGACAGCTGGAACCGTTATAATAACACCAATAACAATTTTATTGTATTTCTGGATTTTATTGCACTCTTCATTTTATTAAACACATCTAATTTGGCTAATTAGCTACCTTGCTTGCTAACTATAGCTAGCATAACCTCTTGGCTGATATTAAACGATAGAAGTTACTACATGGCTAATCACAGTCACAAATCTCTACAGTTACACAGAATTGGGTGCAGAATCAAGAATAGCTTACAATTTTCTCTGTGAAAATATGAGCAAAATTTTGTGGAGGCTAGCATGAATGTTAATAGCGTTAGCATTTGCGTCCTAATTATCTTACCTTAGGGAACTCTTTACAGAGTAATTATTCTAACAATAACAATCGACACATTAACAGATCATTTTGTCTTAATTTCTGGTGTTCTTATTGGTGATGTAAGTGCTCGGTGACTTTATCTTCACCTGGGAGAGTAAATTTGATCATTTTTTGTTGGCTTCAGCAGCAAGTGTTACCAAACACAGAATACCCTCGAGTTACCATTAGGTCAAGTTGGTATCAGTCTTAAACAGATACCAAAATCCATAAAACTGGAAACTTCGGTACTGGTACAGTGACACAAGTCCTGGTACTTTGTGCAGTGGAAAAATCCCCTAAAAATCCCCTAAAATATCTTTTGTTATAAAAACATATAAACATCTAGGCCTGTCACAATTAATACATGATTGCCTAGTCATTTAATTCATAATTTTCAACAGTTGTTAGCTTTCACAATCATATAGTTACAGACTATTAGTTGGGCAAAGGCAAATACAGGTAAATAAAAGAGAGCAGAAAACAGATTTACTGTGACACTTTAAGGGTCTTTCTGTCATCAGTTGGGAGCTACCCAGTATCGACAACTAGGAAGCAAGACAGCTAATCAGCCAGTGTGGTCACTTTAGGCTTGTACATTACTAGCTGTGTACAATCAACCCAAAAGAACACAACTAGCTAATCTAAATTATTTATACACTAATTAATTACCAGCTAAAATTTCACAATTGATTAGGCCTATCACTTCATATCCAAAGACTATGGTGGCTGACAAGACTCTATGCACAGTACAATTAAAACACATTGCAAACTCGTTAATGCGATGCAAATTTAGAAAATACTGTAAAGACATTCACAACATAACAAATGTTTCTTGAAGAGATGGAATATCTGTGATGAAATCACTGGCAGAAGTTGGTAAGACCACAGAGACTCACATTACTGCAAGTTCATGGTTAACTTGGCTGGCTAGTTAACTATTTGACATGTTAAAGCTATACTACAGGTCTGGTATTGCTATTTGAAGTTTTACAGTTAAACTTCACAGCTAATTTCCATTACCAAACAGTGATATTCGTTTTCTATAAAATTTATATTTCAGTTATCAAATAAATATTAGTTTTCAAATAACAGTAAACTGCACAAAATGTAAAAGTTTGAACGGCTCCATCTTTGAATGTCCTCCGGAAACATTTCCGGTGTGCTGTGATTGATTCTGCAGTATTCCTTAAGTTGCATGTGTTTTCTGTACTTGCAGTGTGTTTGTACAATGTAGCACTGGTGTCGTCATTTTGATGCAAGTGTTTTCAGAGTGTCTTTGAATTTACAAAAGCATTTTATTAGCTTGCTGAGCATTTGTAAAGAGTAGCACATTGTCTTTTTGATGAAAGAGTTCGCAGCTCATTCTTTATTCTGCAGTTCATTGGGTCTTCTCAGCCACTGTAAGACTTTCTTTGGATGTTTGGCTCAGCAAATTAAGACAAACCAAGACAAAAAGAGGTTATAGATGCCCAGCTCTGCTCCTGGCTATCTACCGCCTAGCAGAGTTTAGCTCCAACCCTTAACTAACACACCTCATCCAGTTTTTCAAGGTCCTCAGAAGCATCTTGATGGCAGAATTAGGGCAGTAGGTCTACTAGAGCAGGGCTGGGCATGCCCAGTCAAAGCACAGCTTTAAAACCTTAATAAAAACCTTCATATACGTTTATAACAGTTCAGTGTTGTCCTTGGCGATGGTTTGAAGTTAGCCTTTCCTGGATACGCTCCATTATGGTGGAACAGAGAGAAACTTCAGATCACTACACTGCCTCCACTGCGTGAGCTCTTATCCTAAAGGAATAAGAAGTCTTAGTTAATGCCCATTCTAAACGATTGTGACTGAGTGTATAGTGATGTACTATAAAAGCATGAGTGTCTGAGCCTTCAGAATCAACAGCTGTTATTTCAGGTTGTGGTGTCAGAGAAGAAAAGAAGTGTCCATTCATAAGTACAGGATCAACAAGAGTTAACAAGGTTGTCTAAATATACAGTTGTGGTACTTTTGTGTGTGGTCATAGCTCCCAAGGGGAGGTGCTAGGGTAGCCAGGACACTAGAAGTTCCAGTTTAACAGCCACGCCTTTTATTAGTTCTCTGAACCCACCAAATAAGTGCACTATTTACAAGTGATGAGAGTAAAACACAAAAAAGCAAACAAAAGAGGCTCAATGCTGCCTTTATATAAGTTATTTATCCCCACAACTCAGGGCCTGACAGCAATAACCTCTGGCTTTAGTCTACAGATTCTGTTCTCTCACAACTGCTGCTGTTTGTCTGCAGGACACTTAAGGAAGACTTTCCAGCTTCGAGCAAGCCCCTCTCTCCTTCTAAGTTAAGCTCTATCGCTTTTATGCATTCCTCTTCCCGCCAAACGTGATCGGACTGTACCACCCAGCGGTGATAATCTCCTTGCTCGTTCACCACTTCGTATGGAGAGCTGCGGAAAACCAAACCTCTCCCCCTGACGGAAAACGGGTGGTTTCTACTCCCCACAAACCCCACATAGGTGTTCGAGTTTTGTCATTTCGCGTGTTTTAAAGGCGAAAGTTTATGCCGCCCGATCTGATATGTACACTCTTTTCACGGAGACGTTTAAACGAATAATCGCGTCCTTATACATCGTCATCTCAAAGTCCGTGTCAGTTCTCTTTTCCGGTGAGGAGGTGTAGCCTCGCAGAACTTGTCTGGTGGTGGTGACTCGGTCGTAGTCATCATCACAGCAGTAGGTTACCATTCAAAAGGTTGAAATCACTGTCTTATTAAAGGAAAGATCAAATTTGCACAATTTTCCACTTAGCCCAAGTGTAGCTGATTGACCGAGACTGCAGATTTTGCATCTTTAGTTTAGAACTGGAGAACTTGAACATTGCTAACAAACACTAAAACTCAAAAGTCACCCAAATCACTTCTGTAAAAAATACATCACCAAAACTTGTTTCAAACTTGCTCAAACCCAGTTTCAAATTATAAAGGTGGACAACTTTTCACAGTGTAGCTGAACGCTGCTGGCAGCTGCTTTAGACAACAGGTGGTATATTCACAAACCACCACAGGAGTCGGACTGCTGATCAGTATTTGCAACAAAAATACAGAGGAATCTGATCCAAGCTCAGTCCTGCTTTGTAAACAACAGCCCAATGTGTTGTCCAAAATGGCTGCATGTTCAGGTTTTATGAAGACCTCAATGTGGTTCGAATGGGTTGAGAAAAGTTTTGGAGATATATTTTTACAGAAATGTTTTGGGCCATTTGGGTGACTATTGAGTTCTAGTGTTTGTTACTAACATTAGCCTTGTACCTCCAGTTCAACACTAAAACAAATTTGGACTTGGTAAGTGGAAAACAAGCTAAAGCTGATTTTTTGCATAGGTATTTTTTTTTAAATAAGAGGGTTTTTTTTTTAATTTAACAACAACTTAGACTTCAGTAGCTATTTTTAGATGTTTTAGTAATGTTTTGTGACTGTAATATGTACTGTGCCTGTAGGTTTCCATGTTTTGTAAAATGGGATGTTTTTAACACCATAATAAATGTAGTTTGGCTCTAGATACATATGTGGAACATTTGTTAATTGAAATGCACTCCTTCCAATTGAATAAATATTATTTATGTTAAATACTGGTATATTTTAGGATAGACTTTATCAGTCATGAGCGATTAGTATTGAACTGTAGGCAAGATGCAATCGTTTTCAGTTATAACAGCTCATAAAAAATAAATCAAAAAATATAAACAGCTCTGTTTCTACATGGATCTAACATCAACAATTCAAAAGTAAATACAAGTTTTCACCTTTTTCTGTGGCACTTATTTTAAGGCAAAAATCAAAGCCATGCTTTTGTATCTCAGGAACCAACTAAAAGCTTCCAACAAACTATTTGAAAGCTATGAACCTGAGCAGCTTTTTTTTTGCCCTTTAGGATTTTTACCCAATTTTTTCTCCCCAATTTACTCATTGTCAGTTGGACACACTAAATTGCCCCTAGGTGTGAGTGTGTGTGAATGTATGTGTCTGTCTTCCCTGCAATGGACTGGTGACCTGTCCAGGGTGTATCCTACCTTCCGCCCAATGACCCACTGGGATAAGCTCCAGCACTCCCCACGACCCAGAAGGATAAGCGGCTTAGAAAACGTGTGTGTGTGTGTGTGTTAGGTATCCCCCTAGTCTCAGCCTCAGATGCTTCATACACAGAAACCTGAACATCTTTTGCACACAAAGCTGGCCACAACTATTGGGATTTTGTCAGCAGCATTCTGAGTGGCTATCAGCATGGTTGTGTAAACAGACTTCTGTGCAACGGTTTTTATCATTCACATGGGAAACAAAGTCTATTTTTCCAACTAAATTCTAGTTAGCAATAGTAAACAGCTGCCTACACTGGTCATCATGATAAAAAAAAAAATCAGCCTTTCAGAGCAAGACATATCCGTGGGATTTTTCCACACAATGCAGCTAAGCTGAGGGGGTGAAAGCTAGCCTGTGTCTCTTCCGAAACACAGGAGTCTGTTTTGGCTAGTGCTGTGCTGAGTGATGGGGGGAGGACCATCCTCTTATCCTGTCTTGGACTCCAAAGTTGTGAACTTATCTCCTCACAATTAACGCTCAGATCCCCCTAGAATAATGTTCTAATGATTTTTACAAGTACCTGCTACTAAATTGGATAAATATTATTGGAAATGGTGATTCCAATTTTTGCATGGTAGGGTACAGCAAAAAAAGGACAGCAAATTATCACTGTTGTAAGAAAATCTTAACCATATTTCAATTAACTCCTGTTAATATAACTTTAAAGATTTTCACACAGTGGAAGTAAGAAGTGTGTTTTCTTATGACAGTGACATTTTTTTTAGTATTTTTAAAAAAGAATGAATTATGATTCTTACAGAGAAGCGCTTCATCGGCTTCTGGCCTGGCTCATACTCGCTGTAGCTGGGTGGGTGGTCGGACCAGCCTCCGCCTCTAGCTCCTCTGGACCCGCCCCTTCTGCTGTCCTCGTCGCTGGCCGAGCCCCAGGACCCTCGGTGGTGCTGGGGGGAGTAATTCCGGTCCTGTCTTGATGGCCCTGGACGGCGGGGTTCTGCCAGCAGGTCATCTCGGGAGCGGGAGCGTGGGCGGTAACCGGCCCCTCCCGCCCGGCTCCGGGTATCCAGCATGTCTTCCTGACTGTAGCTTCGGGGCATGCTGCGCCCAGACGGAGGAGGATAGTGACGGCCGTAGCCGGACGAACCGCTGGGAGGCCGTGTTCCGGGAGGGCGGCGGTTATTGGGGCCATCGTCAAGTGCAGAGAGCATACTGGGAGGGCCAGCGGAGAAGGGCACATTCTGGGGCATGTGCTGTGGTGGTGGGGGGATTTGCTGCAGGGCTGGCTGTGGCTGGAGGAGGGGGCTGGTCATGTCCATGCCCCGCACCTGGTTCTCCAAGTAGTCCAGCATCTTATTGGTGCCATGGGCACTACCGTGGACACTCCCATTACCATGCATGCTTGGTGGTGGCATGGCAACAGGCACTAGGCCTGGTTGAGGAGGAGGGAGGGGCACAGGGGTCATGGGGATCTTTCCTGATGCCGAACCTGTCAGGACAAAGTAGTCTCCATTCAGATTTGAAAAAAAAAAACAGATCTGTGTCATACAGTACTGTGCAAAGGTCTTAGGCAGCCACAAGTGCAAGTTTTGGGAATATGTAGTCAGAATACAGAAATGAAGGATCTGTATTCAGTCCAAGTTACATTTTGTAAAGGCGGTATTTAGAATAGTTATTTTTTACATTTTTATGTGAATATTTTTAGAATATGTACTCCTAAATGTAGAAACATATGCCATGTTGAAAAAAACACCATCAATGCTTGTTTATTAACTGTTTTAAAAATCAGTGCATGGTGTGTAATGACATACTCCAAAGAAGAACTCAAAAATGGCTTCTTTACAAACACTGAGGTTCCTGCTAAAGCCTGAGTAGACTGATAAATCAATGTGATGACCAGTTATTAATCTCAGTGTTACTGAACTCTGCTAAAGCCTGAGTAGACTGATAAATCAATGTGATGATCAGTTATTAATCTCAGTGTGACTGAGCCCACTTTATAGTCAAATTTGCAAGATGTTAGTAAGATATGGTGAATTGTTTGCTTTGTTCAAGAGATGGCAATGGGATTATGGGAGTAACAGTGGGCTGAAATAGGTGATCAGAGCCAAAATAGCCCTGGGAATTTGGTGCAACAGCGGTGATCAATGTGTATTAATTAAGAGTTTTCCCCTTCTGCAGTATCAATATGTATTCTAAATAACCTGTTTCTGAATACGTTCTTTTTATGTACTGTAATGGAATACATTTAGGACAGTGTATTCAGTATTCAGCAGTCACTACGTTATACAAAGTATTCTGCCCAGCACTGTAAATAAACATAAATACAGTAAAACATAAGACTGTTTTAAAGGTTTGAATATTTAGCAGAATACAGTTAGATGAATAGTTGGTTGCTGGCTTCTCTATGAGCTCCAGTCATTGCACGGATGTGTGAAATTCCATCAGCAGCACTGATGTAATTTAATGAAGGACTGATTAGATGAAGCAGGTTTTGGATGGTACCTGTAGATACTAGACTTAGTATCTTCCTAAGCAGACATCCTTTAATTTATTCTTATATTAGTGTTTTTTTTAAATAACTGGTCAAATAAATAGTTTTCAGATGTTCAAGACTTCTGCACAGTAATGTACTCATACAAAAAAGGGACTTGTAACAGCTCTGTTTATAGGAATGCCGCCCAAACTGGATTAGGCTCTGTTTTGTTGGGGAGACACAGTTGTGCGCAAAAGTTTGGGTGCCCCGGTCAAATGACAAGTTTTGTTGATTTTCTAAGTGAAAATAATTGAACAAATCCTCAACAGAGAACACATTTCTGCATATTTTAATGCACAATTACTATGTTTTTGCTGAATTTTACATACTGGGGACAAAGAAAACAAAAAATGTGGACCATGAAAAAGTTACAGCACATTTTACATTTCATGTTTTTATTTTTTTCCAGCAAATAAATAGAAACTGTGCACTAAAACTGGCATAAAATGCCATATTTATGTTTGTTTGCTGTACAGGATATGTTAACTTATTTTAGAAAAATCCCCCCCAAAAAACATGTAATCTGACGAGGGGTGTTGAAACTTTTGCATACAACTGTGTATGTATAACCAGCCACTTCCTTTTAGCAAGCAAAATAGCCAGAATGGTGCAGAGGAATGAGTTTGCAGTGTCCTTCGGTCAATCAATCAATCAGATCTTATTTTCACAAAAGCACACAGATTAGGATTAGAATAGGACAGCAAAGTGAGCTTCACCTTAATTTTTTTCAAAAGAAAGATGACTAGCGCTGATATAAAAGGACAGAATTCATGTAAAGGAAACTGCACACAGAAAAGAACCTCTAGTTGACTCACCTCCGTACAGCATGGGATTCATCTGGTAAACAGAGCTGTGGTTACTCAGGGGGGCGTAGACCTGCTGTCCGTTTGTCCAGGCACTCATGGCCTTTTGAGCCTCCTTCATCATCCTGTGCTGCATCACAGCTGGGAAAAAAGAACAGATGGTCAGTGTGGGTCTGTATGGACTGCAAGCCAACACCCAACATTTTTTGAAGCTGCAATACAGTAGTTCATCACAAGGGGGTGTATGTGAATGAAGAGTGGTAGAGGCAGCCTTAGCCACATACTGCATTGCACAATTCTGAGCATTTTAAGGTCGTTCCAGTTTTCCAAGGAAGGCATTCCGTCAACAACCATGCGAGCATGAGGTTGTGTATTATTATTAAGAAAGCAAAAATGCATCACATCCAATACAGGCTCTTTAAGGCCCACATTTTTCTTGTATGCTACTATGTTTGTGTGGTTTTATGTACCTAATTCATTTTTACTCAATTCTTTATCCCTTAGAATTGAACAGACTGTTTTTGTTGTTGTGTCTTTAAAACTGATATATGTAAATGAGCTCTGTTCTGGTTTGTCCTTTATTGTACCTGGTTCAAAAGCAGTCTGGGGTAAAACAACTTTTTAACAGCCTGAATGGACAGAGCTAAACTGCTGTAGGCTGAATAGAACTGGATATACATAAATATGTCGGTCAATGAGTTGAAAACAGCTGTTTTTGTTAGTTAGTTTCCATACAACTTGAAACTTTAACAATGTTTAAATACTACATTGAACTGTTATATTTCAAAAAAGCAAGGAAAATTAGGTTTCCAAGATATGGGCCCTTTAAGTGCAGTCAAGTTGAAACTGACTCTTAGTGACCATAAGGATTCTCCAGGATATCTGGTCTTCCGTTTGGCCTTTTCTGATTGTCTTAATGGCTCATTTATGATTCCTCTTATTGTATCTATCCTTCTCGTTGATAGCCTCTTCCTCTTTTACCCTCAACTGTTCCAAGCATAACTGATTCTTCTCATAATATATCCAAAATAAGAGTTTCAGTTTAGTTATCTGGGCTTCGAGGGAGAAATGAGACCTGATTTGGTCCATTGGTTTTGTTGTCTTCACCGTGCAAAGTACTCTCAAAAGCAGGGGTTGCCCCAACTTTTGGTCTTGGAGGGGGCAAAGTGCACGTTAGTGATAGGCTGAGCGGCCAAAAACACAATTAAAGACAGAAGGTTGTTTTCAAATTGAGTACATTGTATTTTGTTACTAGACACATATAAAAATATATTTATAAATGAAAATATGAATTTTCGGCATTATACAGGGCATAATTAAAAATATGTTTGTTCTCTCGTTGGGTGGATCCGTAATTGTTAATAACTGACCTGGGTAGAACAAAGCTATGCACCACTTCTCGATCTTCTCCATCAACCACCAAAACCTTTGCTTTCTTCATGCTAAGTCCCATCTTTTCGCACTTTAAATCTTCAGCTTTTAAAGCTTAATTATTTTCTGCTATGAGTCTCATGTTTATTGCACCAGTCTTGATTCAATACAGTATGCGCTAACTTTTTGGACAAAAAAAAACCTCAGGCTACTTTTGAATACATACATAAAAAACGTTTTTACAGTCAACAATCTATTACTGTGGGAATAGTTTCTCCAGTCACATTTGTGTTTTAAATGTATCTTCATGTATTTCTGCATTTTTGAAGACAATCGTATGCAAAAGTTTGAACACCTCAATCAAATAGGTTCTGCCGATTGTCTAAGTGACAGTATACATCCTCTAAACGCATCCTCTAAAGAGAACAACTTTAGTGCACAATTTCTGCTTGCTGCATTTAATATATTTGGAGAAAAAATAAACAATATAAAATAGAAAATGTGCCAAAACTTTTGCACAGGCCACAATTTATGGTTTTGGTCATTTTCCCAATATGTAAAATTCAGCAAATCAACAGTAATTGTGCACTGAAATGTGCAAAATGTAATTTGATCAGGGTGCTGAAACATTTGCATACAACTGTATTTCAGAATCAAACCAACATAATCAAACCAAGTTTAAAACATCATGAAATTTGACAGAGATTTACATTGAAAATATGTGGATTAGAGGTTGCATAGACTAGATGATCCATTTGGCACAGTGGGCAGCAGTTGACTAGTTGACTAGAACAGTAACTGAAGTAGATGGTAAAAACACAAAGCCCAAAAAACTTAATTAGCATGGATATACTACACAAAATAAAACCCATTTTACTGCAAGCTGCGTAAGACTGGGCTGAAATACAGGCTCGCAAGCCAGACTGGGTAGGTTTTGAGAACTGTGATAGGAAAGGGCCATTTGACTGAAATGCAAAACATCCAATCACAGATGGTTTAGTGCAGTGTGTGCAACGAAAACAAACTTGGATTACCGGTTGGCAATCGCACAAGGATATATTGTTTACTTGCCTCGTTGTTTTACGCACAATTCATTTTAACATTTTAAAATGGGATGTCATCAAAGTTTCCAGGTTGAGCTATAACAGCTATACCTTGCTCTGAAAGGCTTATTGGTGAGTAGACTGCAAGACTGGTGAGCACTGAGCGCATCTCGCAACTCAAACCACAGCATCTGCTGCTAGAACCAGCTGCTAACAAAATTGTTTTCACAGACATCCAGAACACTCATATCTTACTTTTCATGTTTAATAAAAAAATAGTCAAGCAACCCCTAGTGTGGACGTGTGTTCGTTGTACCTTTCTCAGGGCAGCAGCAAGTCTGTGGGCAGCAGGGACAGCGGATGTAACAACAACAGCGCTGAGGACAACACTGACAACAGCAGATGCAAAAGAGGATGATGAGGAGAAGGGCTCCAATGATTATGAAGAGCACCGTCAGCCAGTCTGAAAGAACAGAGACAAATCTGGCTTATAAACAGGCCACACAATACATTCATTTTCAATTTATTCAATGTTTTTATTTCAAATGGAAAGGCAAACAAAGCTGCGACATTTATATTTATTTTCCAACAACAAGGAGAAGCTGCTTACGGTAGACGATGAGTTTCATGTATTTCTCCCCATCACCTGTCATGTCTCCAACAGCGGCAACTGAGCAGAAATAGACACCGTTGTCCCACCACATCACCTCATTGATCACCAGGTCGGCATCTGAGAGAAAATACAGAATAAGACACATCAACAAGGGATCTGCTACTAAGGTCTTGGTGCGAGATACCACAGAGCATCCTCATAGTTCTACTGAAGCCCATGCCTTGAGCTGTTTTGGTGGCATGCGGAGGACCAACAGTATATTAGGCAGGTGTTAGGCAATCGGTGTGTACAGCCAGAACCTTTTTGACGAGTGTCCTGGAAAAGTGAATGCTGTACTAGACTAGACCATAAGCTAAGGGCGGTATACAGTGCAGACTTACTGTTCTGGATGTAGATTTTGCGGTCTCTGTAGTTTGGACCCAAAGTGGCTTCATTTGTGCCCTGTTTCTGAGCCACAGTCCTGATTGTGCGCTGGCTGTCTGGACAGTCGTTGGATGGGTCCTGACCCAGCTGCAGAGCGGCCTGGTAGGCTGAAGAGTAAGGCATGTTTCAGGTGAAAGGTTCTGGAAAGCCTTTTACTATAAAGGACTTTCTAAAAACCTAGAAGGGACTAAAGGCTGTAAACCTATGGAACCCCAGGCTCACTATTCAGTAATGAACCTTAAAGGGCTCATATCTTGGAAAACTGAATTTCTCTCTTGCTTTTTGTAAAATAAAGGAGTTTAAACTCATATGTGAACATAATTAAAATTTCAAAATGTACCATTTGCTACCCAATCCATACAGTCCATATATGGAAACTAAGCTGCAAAAACAGCCTGTTTTGCATCCACTGCTTCTGTGATGTCATGCAAACCAACTCATTTACATATATCCACCTATTCACAGTTAAGTTATAAGGAGGGTTTCATCTCTGAATGCTTTTTGAATGATGCATAACGCAAGACAGCCAATCAGAACAGTGCTAATTTACATATATCAATCTTAAATGGAAACTGAACAAAAAAACAGCCTGTTTAATTCTAAAAGATAAAGGCAGGTTGTTAAATTACTACTGTAATGTACTACTGTAATGAAAATATCGTATACTACTGTTAAATTGGGACCCTATGAGCCAGGTTTACAAAAACAGTTCAAATGATTATTATCACCACTAAGTGAATCTAACTGAACCTTATCTAAACATTTACTCACATTTAAACAAAAGTACATATTCTCATATCCCACAAGGCTTATTATGAAATTGAAATGGATTATTGTAAATTGAAAAAATCATTTACTGAAAATTGAAATGAAACACAATAATACACTGAATTCAAAATAAAAAAAAAAACAACTGGCATAAAAATGACAATTATTACTACTGATTCTAACTGAAATAGCATAAAAATGGTGGAAAATTATTTTTCAGTTTCTTTCATGGCTACAGCCTTACACCTCCCTCAAAACTCGAAACTACTGCATCGTAAAAAAAAATTAACAAAAAAATCCCAAAACAAAACAAACAAACAAACAAACAAACAAAAAACTTCATTCATTTAAGACTTCATATGCCCTGAAGCTACAATGTAGGACAGATAAGAGAGATGTGGACTGCTTCCAGCTGGCTGACACACTACAATACGGCAGGGTAGGGCACAACGTAACATGGGGTAAAATGTAACCATTTTTATGTTGTTAAGGGTTCAAATAGAACGTGTTTTAGTCATCTTCGCATATTCACACAGTAACATCAGATCTATGAATTTTCAACTGGACAGATTTCTAAAGATTCGTCTTGTTTTTGTGCCATAGAAGTATTATTTAGCATGTGTTTTTTGAATTATTGAGTTGTGCATGTGTGCTTACAGCCTTATTGAGATTGGATTAGTGTATCGGGGGACGCCTGTAAACACAAATGTACACGTCTCCTCTTTTTACTACAGGAGGTGAGAGTTTTGGGCTGCAATTTCTAGAAACCTGGATGTTTGCGTCACACATGGTCATATGATCAGACTCTACTTGGATGAAAAGTTGATATTGTGCAGATAAAGTATTGCTTTGATGATATTGTGCAGCAGTATGTGTTTATACATGAAGCGGCCATTATAATCACCTCTTTAATCAGCTTGTAGATCTCATTTCTCTGATAGAATTTTAGTCTATTAGTCTTTCAGTTTTTTGTTTCTCATGCTGCTAATGATCTTCTATATATGACAATATGACAATAATTGATATTGTGAAAAATTACATCACAGCATATTACAATGTACTTTTCTGAGCATATCATGAATATCGCCAGTACTGGAAAACCATTTACCAACCGCATGTTTGATTACAAATACAGCATAAATGAACATAAATAGCTGAATTCATAGTTTTTGGTGACATTTTTAAAATGCAGGTTTACTTTGTCTGTTGTAACTTATCAGATGTCAGAAAAATAATTACAGTGACATCGTGTATAGAAAAAAACTTTTTGAAGTATTGTGAAATTTTGCCATATTGCCCACGTCTATGCTCTTTCAGTGTAGAGGGGATGGAGATGAAGTTCTACCAGATCGAGTTCATGCCTGAAATTACCCCAGAACCCTGAGTAAATTTAATCCTGTCCTAAAAGGGCTTAAGTCCCACAACTCACTACTGTTATTTTACTCACGCTCTTGGTGTCTATAATATAGCACCATTTTGATACATAGAGCAGGGTTTCTCAACCTGTGGGCCGCGAAGCACCCTCAAGTGGTCCGCGGGCCTGAGGGAGGCAGTAATTTGGCCCGGTAATGTCACTGTAAGCCATAAAAACATAAGTGGGAAAATGATTAACTCAATAATTAAAAATCTAATAATTAAACGTTTCACAGTATAACCAACCAGTACAACCAGCCAGAGATGGAGAAGTTTCTCAGGGCGCTTTGTTTGGTGAGGACTTAACACACTTTATTTAGTTCACTCCATTTTGACACGTGTGAACCCTCCACCCATATTCGGGTATGCAACAAACAAATTAACCGGTCCGGCAGAAACCCGTGGCTCTCAGTCCGCTTCTAACCTAACCCTGTTCAGTGCAGAGCTGGATTTCCTTCTCTTCTAGAGGCACATCAGCGCTGTACAGTCAGCATAACGTTTGTTTTTACGACTCTTTACAGACTCTCGGCACGAACTTCAGTAAAAAACAATAGATGAGCCAAAAAATAATAGAGAAGAGAGGCGTTTGACTTTAACTCATGGATCGCGGAGCGTATATTTGGTCAAGCATCAGCGACCTGAGTGGTTAAACTGATAAACCAATGACAAAAAAGCAGATATCAGGTAAGACTTTACGTTATTGTTAATTGTGACGCCGCTAATCCAAAAGCCCGGTGAGTGAAGTGTGGTTTAAAACGCACTGACAACTAAAATGGTCAATCACATCTTTTTCAGGACCTAAATTTTTGGTTTTCAGTGTCAGTATTTAAGAAAAGAAAAATAAATTTGTATTTAAAAAAAAGTTGATTTAGTTTTCCTGTGGGCCGCTATGCTTTGTAGTCATACACAGGTGGGCCTTGGGGTGGGGAAGGTTGAGAACCCCTGACGTAGAGAGCTAATGAGAACTAGCTAATTTACAGCCTCTACACGGTGGGGATAGTTGTAGTAGTGTTATAACTAAGCCTCCTAAAGTCAGCAATAAGTAGAGTCCATACCCGTCCATATAAACTCAAAACAGGTTGTTTTCTTAACTAACTGATTCTTAAAAAATGTACTAGACTTCACATAAATAAAATATGTTTCACTTTTATTGTGCTGATATTTGCCACATTCAACACAGTCTCTTTTCACTAGTCATACTAATTTTGATGCAGAAATAGTACTGTGCAAAAGTTATAAGCTATTCTTCATTTCTTTAATTTCCAGTCAAAATGGACATTAAGTACAAGTTATTCATTTTCAGGAAATTTTTGAGAAAATTAGATATAAAATAATCCACTTGTCAAGTGACAAATTCAAAATAAAATCCTTGCACTGTGAGAAAGCAACTCAACCAACTTAAATGACTGAACTTTGGAGGCATGGAAAAAGACTAAAGGTAGACACCCAAAATATTGAACATTTTGATATTTAGTTGTTAGGCCTCCATGTTATTGTCTGTTAAACATCTGTTTTATGCTGCTTTTAACTGATCTTTGACTTTTGCGTGGTGCGTTGTATATATTGGAGTAGAGATGTGTAGATCATTTGTAGAAGACATTGACCAATCTTTCTCAAAATCTTTTACATTCTTTAGAAAAAAACCAAATGTGTTCCCCCAGGTCACCTCTCCCTCTCACTTCCTGTAGACTGAATGGGACTTCGAAGCTGTTAACTAAAACCTACTGTTCTGACCACAGATGAATTCAGTGGCTCCTTTGACTTCTCACCTGTTGAGTAGTAGTCCAGCACAGGGTCTTTGCAGAAGGACTTGTAGCGCCAGGTGACCAGCACATTCTGAGCAGTCGCTGAAGTCGAATAGTCGCACCGCAGTGTGACCGTGGTAAAAAGGCCCGTACTCACCTGTGAGACGGGAATGGTCACCTGAACAGCCACAACGCCTGGATGTGAGAGCCAAGAGAGAGAATAAGCAAAGATATTTACAGAAGAAAGTGTCACTCATAATGGTTTTTATATCAATAGTGAGAATATAGCAAAAGTATTGTAATACAGTACGAGCAACACCTACAGTACTCCCAAAGTCTAAAGTAAAATGTAAAGATTACAGCTGCTTAAAAACTTCTCAGTATAATGTTGTATGTATGTATGTATGTGTGTGTGTGAGTGAGAGAGAGCAAGAGCGAGAGAGAGAGAGAGAGAGAGAGAGAGAGAGAGAGAGAGAGAGCAATAATAGGCCTGCTGAAGAAAACAGTACACCAAAACCTGTCTAACTGGAACGGGAGTGAAAGAGCAGGAAATACTGTCATGCCATTAAACCCCCCACCAACACACATTCTCACACACAAATACACACAGACGTTGTCACAGTGTGCTGCTCAAGCGGGAAATTGAAGTCGAACATTCACTTCATTTGGCGTATGAAACTTCATACAGATAGAGTAGCCTAAATCCATACTCTAGTAAAGGTATTGTTACTATAATGAAATAATGACTCGAGTAAAAGTAAATGCATCTTTCCATAAAACAACCTGAGTAGAAGTACAATAGTACCCAAATATGACTTAAGTACTGAGCAAATTCTAGAACTGCCATAAAAGTTCTTACAACATTCAGCATCTATCAGCACAGGAACTGAAGTTTGGTTGGTTGGTTCAGTCGAGGCCTCAAAAACTTGTTTCACAGGAAAGTCAACGGGTAACCCATTTTTGGAAAAGACGGAACGTTTTAAGAAAAAGGTGCAGTAGATAAGTGCAGCTACGAGTGCCTGTAAGTAGACATTAACAGTGGTGGGTAGTATTTGTGTACTACTTACCTGTTTCAAATCGTAATACTTTTACTTACATTCAAGTAAATTTGTGAGGACAGGAATTGCCTTTTTGATCAGTTTCACTTGTTATTAACACCTTTGTTACGAATTCTTTTTTGTGTGTGTTTAAAGGGAAGCCTGGCTGTTAAGACACATAAGCCTCAATATGGTGCTCTATTAAAATAGGTTGTGTAAGCCAAGCAAAGTACTTTATTAAAATCTTACTATAAATGGACAAAATTTACTGGTAGGCTGCCGTTTTTAGTGTTGTGGCATCAACTGGTTGCATTCTCTCTTACTGAGTGAGGAATAGCAAGCCAAATATGCCATTTACCTCATTTAACTCAGCTAAAAATATCATTCAGCTTTTCCATCTTAAGAGTGTGACATTACCCAAGAGAAAAACTTGTTTATGTTATTTTCCATAGGACCGACACCAGCTCAAGCATATGATATCTTAATGCTGTAACAATGGGACCTTCTAGTAGAGGAATTTTGCCTATTTGTCTTATTTTCTTATAATAAATAGAACATTTCCATTGGTTTATACGTCATATTTTAATAATACAAGACATGCGCATACAGGTCTTACCAGTTTGGGTCCCCTTTAGTTTCATTATATCACACTGAGGACAGCTTTGGTACTGCTTTGATTGCGTCTGACTGAGCTTTAGCATTTTGTCTAGTGACAAAAGGATTCCAAAAAGAGAATAATGGAGCCTACCAAACATCAGGTTCTATGCTGATAGATGGCAGATGTCATAAAATTTCACTGAAGTTCTGCAAGTTACTCAGTACAGTAGTTTTTGCTGTGCTGAAAAAAGTCTATTAGAACTGTTAGGATTAAAATGTGACGGTTTTGCTTTCTAATGGGAATTGGCTTCATGGTTATCGTTAGACACCACTAGTTTCCTGCAGAACAGCTTTAGATCCCATCAGGAAACAATCAACGCATCTGGTATCAGCCACAGGTCATCTATTTAACAAACAGGGTCTCTTACACCGTGATACCCATCAAGAAAAGGCCAAAAAAATTAAAGAACCTCCAGGAACCAACAGAAACATTTAAAGGGAAACTCCACTGATTTTTCAAAATGTATGCATAATTCATCTTTGAGATGTAAACAAAGTCATCAAGAGTGGTTTGATGTGAAGTTGATTCACAGAAGGGAAACTTACAGACTCAGATTTCTTTACAGTGGTGGTGACAGGAACCAGGAGTCACAATGACTACAACACAAATACAGCCATTTTATTTACTATAAAAAACCACCAGTGAACCTACACGTGTCTTCTGAGTTTTTATATGTAATGTTGATGATGGTACAATAGTGGTAAATCTGAAAAAAATATATTTTCTTTGAGGACTATTTTGCCTTACAACACCCTACATGTATCTCTCCAGCATTAATGGATTTTAAAAAGTACAATGTAGCCCCAAAGGTTCTCTCAAAACTATCATACAACAATGCTCTGGGCATACTGCTGCACTCCGACACTACTGCATGTAATAACGTTTAGAGGCATTAAACTCCTCAGACGTCTGGTTCCTATCACCACCACTGTGAACAGTTCTGACTGCAAGTTTCTCTGGAGCAGAGCACTTCAGACCAAACCACTCTGAACAACTTTGTTTACATTTTAACAGTTGACTTGTGAAGAAATTTTGAAAAATCAGTGGAATTCCCCTTTTTTTGCAGTACGGGCCTGGTACTTTTGTGCTTCTCCTCAAGTTGTTTCTATGAACCTTTTGCTTAGAGTCGTTTTTCACTGAATTAACGATTCTTTTACCCGAATAAAGGTTTAGACCAGCCACCTCAGGACGTTTAACACCCAAACAAACTGGGTTAGCAAACAAGGTTAGCTAACTAACAAACAGAAACGCATCTCAGGTTGTCATCAGTAAACAGTGGATGGTCACGTGACCGATACCGGTTGCCACGGTTACCCGCTCGGTTTTTACCCCTGCGCTCGGTTTCGACTGAGCGAGCGGACGTGACGACGATATAAACTCGAAATTTTCTGCTTTGTCTCCCCCCAAAAAAGTTATAAAACCGTCACAAATTCAACTTAGGACACCCAGTATCACCATATGTGAAGAGCGACCGCGACTCTAGAATAAACTCTCAGAACAGAGTCTTACCTGAGAGGAGGAAACTGAGAACCAGCGGAGCCACCAGCAGCCTCTCCATTGTCTCCAACTCCAACGGTCAAAACACGACCAGTCAGTCCAAAACTCCTCCAGAGAGACCAGAACACACTCAGCTCAGCGCCTGAAGACCCGCACGGAGGAGCTGGAGAAGTTAAACAGCCTTTATCCGCTTTGAAGCAGAGCTCGTCGAGGCTCTTCAGACTGACCCTCTCTGTCGTCTCTCTCTGTTTCCTGCTCCTCTCAGACACGCCCTGAGACAGGTGTACTCTGACGTCAGGACGTCAGGTAAAGTCAAGCGAAATGTAGCCATTTTTAAAAAAGTCCCTGACATTTATTTACATACATACCCTAAATCCTACAAAAAGGAACACTCTTGTACACTGTACCACACAATACTGTGCATATATATGTATATATATATTGTATAAGTGGTACAGTGTACATGTATATAAACTAAATTAAAGTGTGTAAAATATTTGTACAGTATACAATTCTGATACCTTTTGTCCTTATGTCTTTTAAATTGTCCCTTTGTATGTGCATTAGCCTATACACGGTTCAATAAAGCACCTAACAGGCCAGCCAAATTCATTTCAAATCTGAACAGCTCTATTTCTTTGCTCTGTTGCTGGCCTTACTTTTCAAGATACACTACTGTGTGGATCATTTCAGGCCTTCTGTAACACATAGAGAAACGCTGACCTTTTTCAATTATGTTTCATATAAATATATTTGTACCTAGCAGAGAGGATTTTTTTCTCCTTACATAGGTCCCTCCTGTCTCTATATTTTGTGTATATTCTGTATATATTTAATATATTTCAGTTTCAGTATTTTCTTGTATTTTTATTTTTACTTTGGTTACTTTCTGTAGAGTGATTACCTGAGCCTCGCCACAAGCATTTCAATGCGTAAATGTCCTGATATGTCGTGCAAATGACAAAAAAACTTGAAGCTTGAAACTTGAACTTCAGTTCCCTGTTTAAAATTTCCCAAACATTTAATTCCATGAAATGTCTCATATGTATTTCTTACCTTTGTTGTCACCACAGGCTGCGCAGCTGCCCATGCAAGCTATGATTTTATCACGTATGTCAGACTGTGTTAGGGTCTGGGGTCAGGCTTCTCAGTCGGAAATTAAACCTATAATGCTCTCAAATAAACAGACTCTGAAAACAATAGACCAGAAACTAACAGGATGGCATCACTGTGCAGTTAGAAAAATATGTATATTTTATTGAGCATTAACAGTTTTGTGAATTTTTCATTTTTAAACCTTACTTGCTTTGCTAGCAGCTTTGCCCCAGTTTTTCTCAGTTAATTACAAAGCAGAGAGGCAGCGGAGTTGCAGTCAGGGGGGCTGTAAGTGGCAACTGCAGTATGCCAGTACATAGAACAACATTTGGTCAGTCATCGTTCACATGTAAAGGCAGACAGCTTTGGTATGTCCTGGTATTAGAAATCAAAACACTAAATGAATGTTGAGTTGTTTGATGTGAAACACTGGCTTAAACTAAAACACATCTGTGAGCATCATTGATTATATGTACATTCACATGCTAACATACATGATCAGTCACGAACACACATCGTTGTGGCTACATATTCACACATGATAGTACGTTTTAAACTTGTTCAATAGTCTGTTTAATTTGCTTTATTTCATTCTGAAAGCCTAACCAGGGACAGGGGTTGCAAATGAGCCTTAGCTAGAAGACTCAAATACATTATATGTGCTGCATTTTATGTAGCAATGTTTATCTGTACTGTGGCTATCAAATAAATGTAAAAAATGAAGAATGAAAAACATTCAGCCATTTTTTCATGGAGTATTAGCTAGATGTAAGCAAGTTCACTTATTTTAGAACAAACTGAAATTTTCACAGAGACATTTGTAGACTTAACCTGAAATTAATTCGTGAATTAAATCTCTGTTAATTCTAATTGAATCTACTCCTTGTTAATTATAATTTGTTGAGGCAACTGGTTTTCTAACTTTTTTTTCTAAAAAAGTTTTTGGTATCACATTCCCCCCCTCAGCCAGCAGAGGGCATGGAGCGCTGTGTAGTTGATATTCAGCAGCCAGCGCTTCACTGTCACAGTCACTGAATGGGTTTGTCATACAATACCAGACATTTCCGAGTAAATCTCCTCCAGCTGTTGCTGTTCATAAGAAAACTTCATAAGAAAAGGAAAAGTCTTAACTTTGACGTAACGATTTTATTTTAATAAGTCATTTTGGGCCAGTTCTGTTATTCCACACAGTGAAAAACAAGTTTTTTTCAAATGGTGTAAATTAATATAAAATGGATTATAATGAAATGTTTGATATTATGAGATATTTATGCTGAAAGGTGTTAAAAAAGGATAATCACTGATTAACCCCTTTTTACAGTCACCGTTAAACGCAATTTCCACCTGTTTTAGAGGTTGAACTCTACATGTTTCCTTTAATGGAATAAGAAGGAAGGAAATGTGTATGTGTGGAAGCGAACTGGAATTTCATCTTTGTAGGTGAGCAAGCAAGCCAACATTTAAAAAGTGTTTTTATTTTGTGTTTAAATGTTCAAATATTATGGTTGTGCATGATTTGTGATATAAAGTAAGCTGCAGTTGTGCTCTGCGCTTTATCTTGGCACGGACATCTTCACAAGAAGGTGGGAATTGCTTTTACAACAGGAGGTTCTCACTTCACATCTTTCACCCCTCATTGCTCGCTAGCAGCCCAACACAGTTAAAACATTTCACACCGAGAGCCAACAGTGTCCTAGTTACTCTGTTAACGGAGTTACTGTGAAAAATATATTGATTACATTAATTAAAATGATCATAATCTGCTTCCATTCTAACAGCCGAATGGTTACTAGAGGGCCTGCAGAAAGAGATTAAACGTTTTTCGGTTTGATTCGTACCTGTAGTGTAGTTCTGCCAAATACCAGCCATCAGTCTCCACTTATGTTGTGTTGTTGGTACTACAAACACTTTGCTGTGGCTGCTGAGCTGAGCTGGAGCTACAAAAGCAGCATCTGGTGTAACAAAGTGGGAGGCCCTCAGTATTAGCATTTGAATTAGGAGCCCTGCCGCTCTGGAGAAAAAGGCAAAAAAAAAGGACCCCGTGTTCCTGGAGCTTATGAGTTTGAAAGCTTGTGTGAAAACAGTGACAAAGTTGTGAGGCAGTGTGTGTCATCTATTCATGCGACCCAGTGCTTTCACTAAATATTGGCAGTCAACAGATGTAGGCCACAGGAATACTTGTAAAAGCAGTTCGGTGGCCTCCGCTCTCCTAATAACGTGATTAGTGTCAGTGCACGTTAGCTTGGGCCTATGAGCAAGAATACTGAGTTCAGTATGGCCTGCTTTGCCTGTAAACTAACCGTACCAACTCATAAAGGCTGAAGTCAGATTGTTTCCTGCTATTGTACACTCGTCACACACCAGATGCCATGAAGCACTGCATATTTTTCCTTTTACCGCTCAGATGCTTCCTCTCTGCTGAACCCCATGTACTAAGTCAAAGGTCCTTTTTTTGTAAACATGTCTTTTTTTGGTAAATATGTCTTTTGTAGGTGTGTCTTTTCCCCCCAGTATCCAACCCAATATTTTTTCTGATACTGACTCATGACAGATGCCCAGCCATACTGATATCCCAACACAAATTCGAACAACAGTACAAAACTAGAAGGGGAAAGTTCATGAACAGACTTTGAGTTGGCTTGATAAAGCTGTTGAAATCCCAGGTGGTCGCTAAGGTGTTTCTAGACCATTTCTGTGTTATCCCAGGTGGTTGCTAAGATGTTGCTAGACCATAGCTGTTATCCCAGGTGGTTGCTAAGGTGTTGCTAGACCATAGCTGTTATCCCAGGTTGTTGCTAGACCACTGAGTGTGTTATCCCAGGTAATTGCTAAGGTGTTGCTAGACCATTGAGTGTGGTCTCCCAGGTGGTTGCTAAGATGTTGCTAGACCATTGAGTGTGTTATCCCAGGTAGTTGCTAAGCTGTTGCTAGACCATTGCTGTGTTATCCCAGGTGGTTGCTAAGGTGTTGCTAGACCATTGCTATGGTATCCCAGGAGGTTGCTAAGGTGTTGGTTATCTAGATCATTTCTGTGTTATCCCAAGTGGTTCCTAAGGTGTTGCTAGGCCATTGCTGTGTTATCCCAGGTAGTTGCTAAGGTGTTGCTAGACCATTGCTCTGTTTTCCCAGGTGGTTGCTAAGGTGTTGCTAGACCATTGCTGTGTTATCCCAGATGGTTGCTAAGGTGTTGCTAGACCATTGCTGTGTTATCCCAGGTGGTTGCTAAGGTGTTGTTAGACCATTGTTATGGTATCCCAGGTGGTTGCCAATATGTGCGTATATACAGGTGCTAGTATATGTGTGAGTCTGTATGTAATGTCTAGAAGGGTAAGTTCATTGTGGCATCATTTGTGGCAGTTAGATTAGAATTTTCTCAATATTTATTTCCTATGGGAGGAATATAACATGTTTGAACGAATTCTTTACAAAAACCATGGAACTGTGATCGGTTCCAAAAGCACAAGCGCACTTTTCTTGTATAGGCTCTTCGATCCTGCAAAGTTTTGTGGTTTTAGCTTGAAAATTGCAACCTGTGAAATCTGCACCAAAAAAAGGAAAAAAGTCTACTTAATTAGCTGCTTGAAGTGATGTGATGTCATTGTTCTTTGGATCACCATAGTGTGCAAGTTGCCCAACTGCATTCCTCACATTCATCTGCTCTAACAGCCCGACTTCCTTGAGACACAGTCCAGCATGTGAACATGAACCAGAGCGCAGGTACGCAGCGGCACTGCTTTTAGTCTGCCTCAACTGCCAAACACATGAGAACATCTGTCAGCCAGGAATGCAATTTTTTTTTTTATTATTATTGAATGGGCAGGAATAAGCAGTACATAGTGAGATAACAACTGGAAGGAGTAAGACGGCATGTCTGCAACAAAATAAATAGTACAACAGTAAGTTTGTAACGACACATGAAAAGAGAGTTTGTTCTTGATAGAAAGAAGAAAACTTGCTCTACGATACATGTATACTTTGTAAACTATGATAAACATTAACACAAATGAATCAACCTCAGTCTACCACTGTTACAGTGTTAGGGAAGCAGTGGCTATATTCATTTACTAAAGTACATATTTCACTGTTCATATTTGTTAGTTTTCATGCCGTGTGCCTGGCATACGCGTTTGAGTGTGAAAGGTAAGTGCACTTGAGCGTTTGTATGCTGTTAGATGGAGATGGCTGTCAGAGAGACACTTATTATGTGACAACAATGGACAAGGACTCTCAGAGCGTGAGTCATCCTCAACAAAACACAGTCTATTTATACAGCACAAACTCAAACTCTCAGTCAGACAAACCATACAACAGAATAGCACAGGCTGCAGTAACATGACAATTAGAAAAAAAAACACACACTGATAATATTGACATGGTGCTTCTTTAACTTAGTGATAAATCAGCACAAGTTCACACAGATACAGCATAAAAATCCGCACAAAGTCTGACTACAGCAATAACAGTTTCTCAAAGTAAAAAAGACAGTATACATGTGTAGATTTACATTTTAAAAATCTTCATAGGCAAAAAAGGGCACTGCGTTAATCATTGTCAAGTTTCTGGTCATGTCAGTGCCATTCAGTTCTTTTTGTAGTAGGAGAGAGCAGGATGCAACCTGACACATGACATTTGCCCAAGAATAATACTTCGTTTATGTAAGCGGTCTACACACTTCTGCTACAAATGAAAATGTAAACTTCCTTTTTTAGCAACTTTTTTTTGGCCGAAAGTGTCAGGAGTGGCAGGTGGCCCATAGGGGTTATCTGAGCCAGACACAGGGGCAAGCTGTAACCGCTGCTAAAAAGTCATGTAAATCAATACAAAGCACAATTAATTCAATACAGTTCTATGTTGTTTGGACCAGGGCGAGGTTCCAACCTGAAAAAAAATACACAGTACATTTTTGAAGAAACTGTGCATAAAAACTTCCCAGAAATTGACTGTTATGAATTTACTCTGTGATTGAGTGCGTTTACATGCACTAAATAATCCGATAATGGCAGAAAATCAGATTTTGTCAGTAATCCAATCAATGCGTTTATATATGCACTTGAGTAATCAGATAATGTGAAACTCCGGGTCTACATAAGTCAGGCAGTAATCAGATTTTTGCTTTGCAAACGGCCAATAAACTCACAAAAGAAGACGTGATGTAAACGTAATGTAAAACTCGACTTTTTTTTTTAACATTGCGCCACTTTACCTGAAAATATGAACATTTATCATCTACAAGATGTAGAAAATGTTAATCCTTCATTTCATCAAGCATATATCTGGTCTCAGCGTCACTCCAAAAGTGTTTTGCTGTGTCTCGCAGCAACGCTGCTTGCTTATTTCCAGTACTGCAGTCTGTTTTCACTCATGTGCAGACTGATAAATCTGAAAGAAATCTGAGTAAGAGTTTACATGCACTGAGAAATCTGATTACTGAGCTAAAATACAGCTCTATTTATCGGATTTCTTAATCAGATTTCTAGACCTTACTCCGATCTAAGAAATCGGAGTATGCTTTTTACCTGACCATTTGAATAATCAGATAACTGCAGAAATCCGATTATGATCGGATTATTGAGCGCATGTGAACACTTTTCACTTGAACTTTTGTTTACGTTTACTTTGGGGGTGTCACGGGTGCTTACACACTAGACAATGAAAGAATGAAGCGGTAGACACAAATACATTAGAGGCACGTGCCCAGCTAGATTAGGTATGGGGTTTGTGTGGTTTGTATTTAAGCGAGCAAATCAGAGTTCTGTGCCCATCCATGCAGTGTTTTTACTGGTTGAGGTCAGAATCCGTGGCAGCAGAAGCTGAAGTGGTCTAAACTTTTTAGACGTTCAACAGAGCATCTTTCCTCTGCATACAGGCACATTTTCTAGTCAGACTGAAATACACTGAATGAGTTGCAATTTCGACATGGCGTCAGCATCAATGTGTAGACATCATTAGTCATAACACTGTGTTAAAACTAACCCCGCCATGCGGATGCTGTACTTCACCCTGACTAGCTCTCACTGCAAGCTGTTTACATGCTTGTAAATAATGCTATATTATAGCCACCAAGAGGGTGATTAAAATAGTGATCAGGTGTGAATTCTGTAAATTGTACACACAATTCAGTAATAAAGATGTGATATAAACAGGTACTTTTATGGTACAGTCTTCAGGGTCAATCTCAGGAAATATCTGACTGTTGTGACAATTCACAGATAAACCTGCCATGAGAACGTAAGAACATGACTAAAAATGGGCTCGCCTGGAACCTCTTCAACTAGTTTATGCCCTGCTCTCCAACATACAAACAAACAAAAATACTCAGCACTTCAGACATTACAGTACATAAAATAAGGCACTGTTCATTGCCATATAATATCAAGGTGCCTCTTCGTGGCAAAGAATGATGCAAATCTCACGGTGCTACAGAAGTTTGACGAGTGTCAGCAGTGTCTGATCTCACACAGCGACGTTAATGGATTACCAAAAGACTGAGGCTTGACTCCGAGTAGCAGCTCGTGAAATCATCCCCATGTGATGTCACGGAGAGCGTGTGTTCATTGTTGCTGCAGTGTCCACTCTGTCAGTCTCTGATGGTGCACACTTAAGGCCCATTATGCTCCTACTGACATCAAACCCTTGAGGGTCTCTGGAAGGCAAAGATGAACAAACAGCCATTTTGCAAACACAGGATATTCATACTTGTAGTGAAAGGATGTGTAGGTTTGAAATGCTGCTAACTAATGCTAGTTAGCAGGTTTCCTATCTAATAAAAAACAAGCAAAAATAGTCCCGTGTGCTCATTTAAAGTCTTTAACTCCCACTTTGTCTATTTACAAAAGGTTCCTCGGTCAGTAAGCAACATTTTTGTCCTTCTGTGATGTGCTGAAACAAACTAGAAGAACTTAGAGCTTGTTAGAGAAACGTAAACAGGCCCTAAGGTACCATTATTTAAAAGAAACACCACAGGGTAATCCTTGACCTTTTGGAAACATTAGCCCTTGTTCCTCTGGCGTTCCAGTTAAGAGTTTCTTGGTGGGCTCACAGAGTCCAAGTAAGTAACTGGTCTTCATTTAAGTGCTTGGAGGAGTGTAAACAATGCCATAGTAACGCTTCTTTGAACTGAGCCACATTAGGTTAAGCTTTTTTCCACCAGTTTTAATGCTGGTGTAAAAATTTTTTGTCAGTTTTCAATCTTCGGAGCATTGCACCGATTTGCACATCAAAGCGTGAAGATCAGTGAGCGGGGTGGGATGGCCTGTAGATGCTTGCTGAAGAGTAACGCGTGGCGCCTGCTTGGTGACGGCATGCTCGGCAGCCGCTTTGCTCGCCTTTAAGACCTCAGACTATGAGCGAATCTCTGCTTAGAAGAGTGTTCTGTTAAAAAGAGAAAATAGAGAAGTGTGAAGGATGCGTGTGCAAAAGCAGGCGTGCAAAAGTATTTGTGCTCTATTAGTAAGATCCAGCAGTGAAAATGGGAGGAATTTGCAAGTGAGTCTTTGTAAGTTGGTTACTGGAACACAGATTCCTCTTTATATGACAGTAGGACACTTGTTACATACAACAAATTAAAGAATCAAAAGAAAAAGGGAATTAAACCAAGCAAATAATGAATAAGTAAATTCTGTACAGATCTCTAAGGGTGCACTCTATAAGATTTCCTTACTGGTACGTAAAAGAAGTTGCTATTTTGACTGCCAGGCTCACCTCCACACACATACACATTACACACACGTTATTGCTAATCACTGCCCAGTTCTGACTAATGAGGCATGAAATCCCATCTGAAAAATAGTTAATTTCTTTAAATAGTTAATTTGGAGGAAAATATATGTGTGGCTTTATTGTTACATATATATTTCTTTAATTAAACTATTTTAGATGCTTAGGTAAACCTATTTTTGGTAGATTAACAGTGGATTACTGTTCTAGGTTGTCCTTATGTGCTTTTCTTTAATAAAAATGATTTTAAAGAACCAAAGTAAATTTGAAATAATTTTATTCTGCAAAATAGTAAAAGTTCCACCTTTAACAGAGCAGCAGTTACTTTCTAGCACCTGTACAGGCACCTGGACCCAACTGCTGTACCATTTTAGGGTGAAACAAGAATTTCCATTAAGAAGGCAACTTGTCTCATATGTGTGTCCCAGACACTTGTGCCTCTGACCATCAGACACTGCTGGAATTCGGAAAATATTACAGTTATTCTCACTTCAGTACCAGCTGTTTCCCGGCTTGTTTCCTGCATAAGGCCCTGAGACTGCGGCCTTGTTCCATTCAAGTTCTCCAGATCCCTGAGAGTGCTTGTTTGTTGCTATGCAATAATGTGCGATATGTATTGTGTAATATCATTTAAAGCAAATGCATTGTTAATCTCACTGGGGCAAACTGCAAAGTTGTATAAGTGAGTGAATTAGCAAACTAAGTTTGAATTTAAGGTGGCAGGAAATGGAGATGAACCAAGTTACTTTGGGTTCATATCAGTGCCTTCCTTAAAAGGAAGCATTTAGCTCAACAACCCATGAATCCAGCTTCATAATGTAATTTGAGAATTGCAGAACATTGATACAGAGCAACATATCTAAAAAAAATAATTTCCTGATTTTGCAGTTGTGATATGCTTCATGGGCCAACTGGTATGTTGTCTATTTTCCAAAACTAACAGTTCCTAATCTCATTTAAATCTAAGTGTATGTTTTAGCTCTGTCAGAGTAAATGTAATTTTGTGTTGTGTTCTACATGAGGTATTTTCTCCTGAGTGGATGATGCGCCAAACCTATTAGTCAGAGAAATATTTTCACTGTGTCATTGTTGTGGAGTAGACTGTAGCCTAGTTAGCGCCATCTCTGACGTCTCTTAGTCACATCATTGGATTGGCAACAGCCTCACGTTTCATAGCAGTATTGTACTGTGCAAAAGTTTTAGGAACCTGAGAAAACTAGAATGAAGAAGCCGTTTATCTGGGCATTAAGTGTTTATTTGATCAGAAAATATATTAGAATAAATAAAAACAACATAAGTACAATAACTAGTGATGTTCTATCTGTCAGTGTGTTCATTTGACTATTTCCAGACCACTCCTTGAGGTGGTTGGGGCATCCAGGAGACATCTGGAACCAAACTTTGTTCCTTAAACTAGCTCATAAGTTACCAACTCTAATATGTAATTCTCGTTACTTTTTACATTTAAGTTCATCTAGATCTATTCTAATGGTATGTGGTGTTTATACTGGCAAAATGTACAACATTTCATTTAAACCCTATATTGCATTGAAAATGCTTCAAAGACAGACCCATTTTGAATTTGATGCCAGCAACACGTTCCAAAATTTGGGACAAGGGCAACAAAAGTCTGGTAAAGTTGTGTAATGCTTCAAAAAAACACCTGGTGGTTAATTGGCAACAGGTCAGTAACATGATTGGGTATAAAATGAGCATCTCAGAGAGGCTGAGTCTTTCAGAAGTAAAGATGAGGAGGGGTTCACCACCCTGTATAAGACTGCACAATCAAATAGTGCAACAGTTCAATAATATCGTTTCTCAATGTAAAATAGCAAAGAGCTTTTGCTTTTCACCATCTACAGTACATAATAACATTAAAAGATTCACAGAATCTGGAGAAATCTCTGTATGTAAGGGACAAGGCCAAAAAACAGTGTTTGCTGGCCATGATCTTCGGGCCCTCAGACAGCACTGCATTAAAAACAGACATGATTCTGTAGTGGAAATCACTGCATGGGCTCAGAAAAACTTCTGAAAAACACTGTCTATGAAAACAGTTCGGCACTGCATCCACAAATGCTAATTAAAACTCTAAAACACAAAGAAGAAAGCATATATAAACAGGATGCAGGAATCCTGCCACATTCTCTGGGCCCAAGCTCATTTAAAATGGACTGAGGGGAAGTGGAAATGTGTCCGGTGGTCCAACAAATCAACATTCGAAATTCTTTTTGGAAATCATGGACACTGTGGACTAAAGACCACTCAGCTTGTTATCAGTGCACAGTTCAAAAGCCAGTATTAATGATGGTATAGGGGGCATTAGTGCACATGGCATGGGTGACTGGCACATCAAGGCATCATAAATGCTGAACGATATAAACATGTTTTGGCAACATATGCTGCCATTCAGATGATGTCTTTTTCAGGGAAGCCCTTGATTATTTCAGCAAGACAATGTCAAACTACATTCTGCACGCATTACAACAGCATGGCTCTGTATTAAAAGAGTCCGGACACTAAACTGGCCTGTCTGCAGTCCATAGCTGTCACCCACTGATAACATTTGGCACATTATAAAATGAAAAATATGAAAAAGGAATTTTGTTTTTATTTACATTTTGCCCAGTGTCTCAACTTTTTTGGAAATGGGGTTGTACTTACTGGCAGGATAAATGACAAACTGCAAAAACTGTTGCATTTCATTGAATCAGTGGTCTGTATATTTTCTGTGTCTTGCCACAATGAAACTGTGGGAAGACCGTTAGGTACCTTGAATGGTTAGCTGAGTACTCGAGTACCAGTACACATCCCTACTCTATACCATATTATGGTATTCACTTCTTACTTTGTTAAAACATTTTTACATGTTAGTTGTATTAAAGTTTCAACGAGTGTAAGTTGGTCCAAACAATTCAGGGAGGAAAACTGAAATACAAACAAATGTATGCTTAAGAACACTTATCTCTCCTCATTCCTGTTACCTGTGTACAGGTTACTTTCGGTTGTCAAGGCGAGGTACAAAGCGAACCGTGACTGAAAAAGCTAGGTCCGAATCAGACTGTGAATTCTGTTCATCGAAAAATGTCTATAAGAGATAAATATGAAAGAACTGATGAAGATGATGAGCATGAGGAAATCTTATAGAGTGCATTTACTGAACAGCTTCATTTGGCATATACTGTTGTTACAATTTATGTGACAGGATACAGTTCACTGCAATATAGTTTCTGAGAAAAACGCTATGCCAGCATCCCTGAAGTGCTCAAGTGTCCTAATGGAAGAGCCGTGTAACTGAGGGGCCTACAGATAACTCACCACTTTGCGGGGTCTGCTCTGCTCCTCTCTGCCCTCCTGCTCTTTTTGGGGAGGCTGGGCAGGCCGAGCGTAGGTGAAAGGCCGCTGGGACATCTCAGCACAGCGGAAACGCTCCATTTCCTTTTCTGTGTATGGCGGCAAGGAATCGTCCTCCTCTGTTGGTCGATTACTAGGTGACCTGTTGCTAGGAGACTGGCTGTGGGTACTCTTTTTCGAGCTGCTCTTGGAGGGCGTGTCAGAGTCTTCCTCGGCCCGCCCGCATTTTGAAGATGTGCTCTTCCCACTTTTCGCCTTACGCTCCAATAGGCTGTTAAGAAGAGCGTCATCATAGTCCTGCACACTCTCACCATCCCTCCCTCTGGGGTCCCGCCCACTGCGCTCCCGGTCATCATAGTCCCGCCCACTCTCACCATCCCTCCCTCTGGAGTCCCGCCCATTGCGCTCCCGATTACCGGAATCCCGACATGGTATTGGGCGGCCGCTGTCCCACGTGCCTCGTCTCTTACCGTTTCCAGGTAAGGGAGGAGGGCTAGGAGGCCGAGGCCGCTCCCTCGGGGCTGTCCTGGGTGGTCTTTCTGGGCTGTCCTTTTGGTAATAACGTTTGGAGCTATAGTGTGGATAACGATCACGTTTGTGTTCCCGCTCTCGCTCTCGGTCTCTTTCTCGTTCTCGTTCCCACTCTTTATCGTGCTCCCTCTGTCGTGCACGTGTGCGGTAGTCGTCCTCCATGTCAACAAAATCCCCATGCCGGCCTCGCTGCATGTAGGTCATGGCGAATTCCTCAAGCTCATCCAGGGAGCCTGTTCGTCCACCTATTTGGAACGCCTTCCTCTGCAGGTGCTCTGAACGAGGGTTCCACCTGGGGGAAAAAAGATCATAAAGGTACCATCAACCTTTCCAAAATTTCCAATATCAATTCCGGTATTTCTTCTTTAAAAAACTACTAAGCTTTTTTTACTTGAAGCGCTCACTTAAAACTTCACCATGTATGTTTTGGGAATTTGGTGACCTATCTCCTCTATCCAGGGAACTCCCATAGCATGTAGACCAATAATCAAAAGGTCTACAGGAAAAAAACATTATTTAATGTTTTAATCTATCATTTATGTCTCCATCTTTTTATCTATTTTTTTCAGCAGCTCTATGACCAGCACACAGCACCCTCTTTATTGTTCTCTCCAGCTTCTCCACACAACAGAAACCACCTTTTTTGCCAAAAAGATCTGACACATATCAGTCCAGAAAGCATTGTTACCTAGGGTGGTCTTCCTCCCCCCGGTTGCCACGGTGAGGGTGTCGAGTAGACCTCCGCACATGCACCGGAGAGATTTCTCTTGTCAGGAGGTCTGGAGGGTCGTCCAGATCAGGGATGGCTGGAAGGGCTTTCTTCTGAACCTGCCGAAAGGTCTGGCGGAAGTCCGCCTCGGCTTCATGTAGGGAGCTGAGCTCTGACATACTGCAAGCTGCCAGTGAAAGAAAAAGCAGGAAGCCAACACAATGATTTCAAAGGCTTACTCTGAATCTTCCTTGGCCCACGCAGGGCCTTTTAAACCTAAATGCCTTTATGAAATGTTTGGTCAGTCAAAACAAAGGTGAATGAATTGCAAAGCTTGTTCAACTGGCCCAGCTATGCTCTACTCACAAATGTGTCCTTTTGTAGCAAATGTTGCGATTGTGGTGCGATTGCACATAACCATCTGACATATGAAATCTGATTGAAACATGTTCACTCTAAATCTGTCACAGGAGAATGCCTCAAAGGAGAGAGAGAAGAGGGGGACTTTGCACATTTTAGAAGTTATCTTAGAAGAGCTTATGTATGCAAGAAAAACTGTTCTTGACCTTAACCCCTTACATAGGAAAGTTCTAATTAAAAATGCAATATGAATTGCATCCTTGCCTCAGGCAGGAAAACAAAGAACAAGAAACGAGAGGGGAGGGTGTTGTGTGACATGTCGCTGTTGTCAGAAGAAAACCTCGTATCTCCAATATGATAACTTTACAGGAGAAGGAAAAAACCTACTTTACTTTTAATGTAAGTCAATGGAACCAAACTGCTTTCCAGACCCTTTTTCAATTTGGGTCATTTCTGTTAGTCTGTTAGTTCATCATGAAATTTACGTACAAAGTAAAGGGCAACAAGTATTTTCAGATTATGTCAAAAACTAAAAAACGTCAAAAATGGGGATTTTCTTCCGACAACAGCGATATACATGTTCCCAGACAACTTAATGTGAAATTGTAATACACAACTGATGGTTATTTCAGCATGGTGGCAAAATCAATTGTTGATGTCATTGTCATAAACTGCCCATTCCCAGTGAACAAAAAAACGTCACTGACCATCCCAAATCTGTTTAAAAAACATCGGTCTAACAGGAACATATTATAAACGTCCATAATCTGTTTTACAAAGTCAGTGTGTTGGTAACCTATAGATAACGTCTATGGGCAGCCAAAAATGTTTAAAAGTTCATTTGTCAGGAAACTGTTTCCAACCTGTCTATTTTAAGAGCCCAATATTTTTTCAGTATTTATTTTTGTGGTGCCGCCACAAATATTTAACCTGAAGCTCATAATCACTTATAACACTAATAATAGTAATAACAATGATGATAATAACCATACTTGATTTAGTTGGAAGTGGATTTTCTTCTGGTTCATGCTAGTAATATGATAGATTACTATATTATTAGTTAGTTTTTTATTTATTAATACTGACATAGGTTTTTTACATCATCTCTGCTTGCTGCGTCAAGCACATGAACTTCAGTTGATGACCAAAGTTTAAAAACCATATTGAAATCAGGCGGCTTGAGACGATACTCGACGATCATCAATTAAGTTTGGCAATTTACATGTCAGGAAATACGGCATTCACGGTTTTAAGATGCACAAATGTAATTCTCTTTGTCTCTCAATCTGTTTTCTTTTAACAGGTTTTCTTTTAATGTATAATGTTAGTCCATGTCCTAAATCAGGCCTGATATGCTGTCTGGCTTCAGAACATTCTGTAGCAGCGCGAGGAAGATCTGTTTTTTTTTTACGTATGATCATGCTTGTTAAACTGATAATGCTGTGCAGCAAACTTCCACGAACAGAACGGCTTCCATCATGAAACATGAATGGAGGCTTAAAATATTTTTACATTGCGATGACATCAGTTATTAAAAACAAAGAGATAATGTATAGTTATAGTAACAGCAGCCTTTGGGCTACTTCATACGGTTATGCTTTAACTGTAAACATGCAATTTATTAAACCTTCAGCAAACACTACCAAACTATAAAAAACTACCAAACCATAACAAGAACAAAGTTAGCTTCTAATGAAGTTTCTGATCAGAAAGCATGTTTATTGTGTTCGGTTTAAGCAGGAACAGCAAGTAATGTGGCGTTACGTAGTTTGTATTTACGGCTCTTTTTTCGGTGTGCTGGTAGTGCTTGAAAATGGCTCTTTCTTTATTTTTTAAGAGACCTGCCTAAGCCACCCCCCTCTCCAACAATCTGTGATGACTAAGAGATGCAATCGGACGATGGTGCACTGCATACAATCTCACAAGCCTAGTAGAAATAATGTACCATAACTGACAGGTAGCTACCAATACGGCAGACAGAGAATATATTGGAGAAATCCAGAATATTCCCTGAAGTACTAGTGGAAGGACACTGTGTTGGTCATCTTTTCACCTTTCGTTGTCAAGTACAATCAAGCACAGATTAAATGGTGGTCAAGTTTGTGATTTCAATGGGTATTCAACGGCTGAACGCTCACTGGGATGCTCAGTAAAGCTTGTCCAACCTTGCAACAGCTGCATGGAAAGAACTCATTTGTGAGTGGAGTCAATTATGTTCTATTTGTATGGTACTTTGTCAAAGTAGCTTTATAGAGATCAGGGTCCAGACCCTTAGCCAAGGGCGACGGTAGCAGAAAAAACTCCCTGAGAGCATAAGGAAGAAACACCGAGAGGAACAAAGACCGAGAGAAGGAAGCCATCCTCCTCTGGGTAGTGGAATAGAAATGATTGATGATACAAGCAATGCAATTTAAGAGAGGCACTCTGATCATACAGAGGAGAGTCTACAGTACATGCAGTGTCAGAGGAGCTTTACTGACTGACTCAATGCTGAGAATCTCCAAAGGCTAATGAGGCACAGAAAAGCAAGAAAACGAGGGAAGGAGAACATTCTGTGAGCTGAAAGGCCAGAGTGCAGCAGGGCATGCAGCTTCTACAGGTAGAGCCAGCAGCATGTGGTCACATTCTGAGTACCATGTGAGGCTTACAGTCATGACTGCTGAGGGTCTTAGAAGGGTTGAAATGCGCCAGCTCCCTTTCCACATACTGCAGCACCTTCATTGAATTCTGATCCGGCGTAGGCTGAAGACGAAACCCGCTGTGCACTACAGGGGACAGACCGTGTGTGTGTGCGCATTTATGTGTGTGCATGTAAGAGAGACAGGAACAGCATTTTTCTTGTCAAATAAGGGAAACTTGAATCAATTTATGCTCTCACAAATTCTAGTTTATGCATATCTTTGCAGTTGTAACAAAATTTGTCTATCCAAAATGGTAGCCTGACAGTAGAAAGAAAAAATGCTAGTAACTCTGAATTTTACCGTTTTTACAGCTTTATGATTATTGATGAAAATGCTAATATGATATCTCGGTAATGGCCAATAGTCAATTCAAGGGACTTGGATCTATATATATATATATATATATATATATATATATATATATTATATATATATATATACACACACATATATGTATGGCTGAAGAGAGTCTTTATTAACTGTAAACCATTTTGCTCGTCTGCAAAAAGTCAAATTTACAGCTCTTCAATGTAGAAAAGATTAACTTCTTTAAAGCTGGGCTTAAAGATACGACAGTTTAAACAAACATTCAATGGTCACTGCCTTTATTCTCTTTGTCTGTGTTATCAATAGCTGTGTTTGCACACAATAACACTGATAACCTGGAGCTGATAACGCTCACCTAGAAAACACAGCACAGGAACAAAAACAGTAATACAAAATATTCTTATCTAATTTACACTGATGCCTGTCAACTAAGCCCGATTTGTGAGGCTTAAACAAATATATCAGTGTTAGACGAGCCGCTGCACCAACTGATTAATGTTGAGGCATTTGTTAAATAATTTCTCACCTGCAGAAGTGCTGTTCTCGACGGATGGTGCAGCAGATATCTTGGGGTCGATGAGAGAAGGAGGAGCAATGGGCACCATGGTGGGCACCCCTGGCATGTAGTATGGAGGGTATATGGCTACTGGTGTTGATGGCGTGACCTTTATACCTTTGCCTGCTTCATACACTGTGGAAAAGGAAATCTTATGTAAACACACTGTGGATATTGATCATTGTTAACACCTTCCAGGCCCCCCTGGCACATATCCCTTTTGTTTATAGTCCCAGGTAACAGAGTGAAATAATAAGATATTAAATATATCTGTATGACCTTAAAATTGAGTGTTATACTGAACATCCAACAAAACTTGAATAAAAAAAAAGATAAAATAAATCACTGCTTAAAAACATTAATCACAACTATCAGGGCTAATATTCTAACCAGCCCGATTGAACGACATCCCTTTGTCCAACAATTCCAGCCCTAGATATACAGCTGTGTCCACTCATTCGATAAGTTTCTCTGACTCGAATACAGTGAAAAGATATGGAATTGCCTAGGTTTGTGATGGTGAGGGTACCGTTTACATAAGCTGTACCTAAAATTAGGACTAGTTTTAATCGAAAGGATTTTTGGCAAATTGTATTATGATTTTAATTTGATGAGAAGTTTTTATTTTGCTCTAAAGTTGTCTTGTTTTGCATAGCAGAAAAAACATCTTTTAGATATTTTGTCACGTTTCTCTTTGACAAAACAAACAGAAAAAGGTGGGAGTACAAACTCGATCTTGAATAATTTACAGAATGTAAACTGAGTACACAGGCGTATGCAAACGTTTGAGGTTTTGTTGAAATTGTAATTGCAAATAAGTCAACACATCCTCTACAGAGACCACCTGGGGTGTTTAAACTTTTGCATACGACTGCATGTGTATTTCATTACACAACTAAATAAATAATTATTCAATTATGTAATTAAATTGAACGCATTGCAAAACAACAATAATATAGATTTCTAATGGTTAATTGAAGACAATAACGAACCGGTATGCTGATACACGACAGCACTGGACCCTGAACAAATGATCCTTGAACGTGTTATGTTTTGACTGTCAAATTATTAAAATAATCACAATAAATCATATTATTTTTGTGTTAGTCATGATTAATCATATTGGTCTTTTTTTATTTTACTAAAATGTGACCCTAAAGAAATACTTTGCATTTTGTTATGGCTATAAGAGTGGACAAAATAAGCTTCAATGTATACTTTGAATAATTCAATAACATTATTTTCCTTAAGTGAACGCAGAGTTCACTTGAACCTGAACATCACATCAGCACACAGTGAACATGAAAATGAGAGAGTGAATACAGTTTTCAGTTCCCAATGAGGCCAAGTGCCTCGTTCATTGAGCCATAGTTCTCCCATAGACACTGTCCAGCATAGTCTGCCAAACTACTGACACAGCCACCACCAGCAGGGTGTTTTGCTTGTAATTGATACTTCAGACTTGATGTACTGTGGTACTAATTCACCTTGGCAGTAGCAGACCAGTGACTTTGGTCTTACTTTGATCAAGACTGCCATTAATGGAACATTTAAAAGTTGTATTTGAACGAATACAATTGCCTTCATAGTCTCAGTCTGCACTACTACAGATGCACAGAAGAGTCAAGCTAGGTCTAAAATGCGTTTTTTTTAGAGTGTTAAAAATAGTGTTGTTAATTATGTACTGTTTTAACGTGTTATTAATGCATTAACGTTGACAGCACTAGTTTTGACAAGCGAATCAGTTTTGGTTTGCGACAGATCAGCAAGTAAATTCTATTCTTTTGGGGATGTTTCCAAATTATTATTTCAAAGTAGCTTTTTATCTGCTGCTACAAGATTAAAATGTTAATAGGAGTTTACTTGTATAACCCAAATTCATGTCACATCCAATTAAATCTTGGCTTCATTTTTAAATGAAAAGTTTACTTTGTGAATTATGTATTTGTGCATATAAAGACACTTCTTAACACTGTATCAAACAATCAAATGTTAACACAATGGAACCCTTCAAGACATAAATAAAACATGATCTGGCGTCAAGAAGCCTCTGAGCTAATAAATAAGCACTTAAAAAAGAGTTTCTCGAGTGAGGGCTCGACAGCTGTGTATAAATACTCAAGGGATACTCACAGTGGCGAGGGCAGCAGCAGGTTTCCGGGCAGCAGCAGCAGCGGACATAACAGCAGCACGAGTGCGGACAGCACTGACACCAGCACACACCCACCAGGAGGATGAAGAGGATGCTGCCCAGAACTACAACTCCCACAAACACCCACTCTGGAATAAAGAGGACAGGCATAAAACCGCAGTTCCTCTATAACATCCACTACAGTGAAAGCTAATGGAAAACAAGAACAGATAGAACAATAAAGCACCAAATGATATGATCACTGGCAAAACCAGTAAACAAATTCTCAGAATGCTACATGTTCTGTATTCTCTATAATGGAGGAAATACTGAGGATGGTAGCCAATGGATTATTTAAAGTATAATGAACAGTACACACTGAGTCTGTTTATTAGCTAAAACTACCTTAGGCGTCCACTCATTGGCTATTTTATCAGAAACAACCACCATCAGTTGCAGCACAATTTGTCAGCTCTCCTCTACTTAATCAGTAGAATGAACCACAGTGGGACCACCCCTGACCAGATATCATTTGGGTACCTGACCATTCTCTTATTTATATATAAATAACTATTTTTCCCTCCAAATGTGAGAAGCACCACCACATCTTTTTGAACTGCTGCTAACACAACAACACTGGACTGCTCAAAACTAACTGCCAATTCTGTTACCTCATCTAACAGATGCCTGTACTAACTAGCCTCATACTGTAACTGAAGGAGATGGAGGGCCATCCTACCCACCCAGAGAGAGCAAGGCCAATTATGTTCTCTTGGACTCCCAGCCAGGGATGGCTATGGCATCACCAGTAATCAAACTAGCATGCTCCCGACATTTGAGCCAATGCATAGATGGTTGCAGCGGTGGTGCATCCAGGAAATGTACACACACAAAATGTTAACATAAACAACGAACAGACAACAAGCAGATAGACAGACTTACGGGCTACCTTGCTAGCTCTGTTATGCTTGCTAGTTTAGCTTTTGCTTGGTTGTTAGCGTTCTCTGTGAGTTTTACTGACTCAAACAGAGCGAAACAGTTTGGAACTGCATAATCTTGTTACAGCTGTGCAGGTGGGAAAAGCCCAGTCAGCTTTGTGATTGGTGAGGGTACTGTTTACATAAGCTGTATCCGAGATTAGGACCGCCCAGTTTAAACTGAAAGGAGAGATTTTAGCAAAATTCACTGATCATTTATTTGACACTGGATATTATTTGGGTGGTAGCCCATTCTCATTAAGTTTTTAAACCCACTTTTTTCCCCTAATTTAGTTTTTGCCCATTAGTAGTGAGTGGTATGGACAAAAATTTATTTCACAGTATATTTAAAATTTCTGACAGTCTTGATATACATCACATTGTATATATATTTGCAAATAAAACCATTTTAGATGCTTAAGCAAACCTTTTAGGCAGTATGGGAGTAAACAGAAGTGCTTTAGTGTTAGGCTAAGGCTAATACCAAAAGGCCGGCCATTCTTTTATGTCCACCGCCTCAAAAAATAAAGTGGACTACTTCAGATGCAATGGATTACATAGAAGTAGATAATCAAGGGACTGCAGCATTTTCATTTTCATTGAAAACGTGACAAAAACACCCCCAGCTGGTCAGCCAAACGGGCTAACGTTGGCATGATTTGTACTGCTTGTATGTCACGTTATCTGTGCTTATAAGTGGCATACTGATACATCAGCCCACTACTAATTCCACCCCCACTATACACAATGCTACTCTGGAGGCCGGGTGGACCATTCTCATCTCAATACTAACATCAAGAAGTGTGTCAGGAACAGCAGCGTTGCCGTGTGTGGTGGGGGTTCCAAATAAAATAGCTAATGAGTGCAGATACAAGGTAAGTGTGTCTAATAAAGACTCACAAAAACAGGAGACTTCCAGTCACTGTGTTGATGTAGGACAATTTAAGTTGACAGCCACTAGCCAACCATCGTGTCAACCAGCATGCAGAAAAAGATAATTAAGTACACACAACAACTGTCTGTAATGACAACGCCAGATCTTCCCTCACGAACAATGATCATTAAAGTATAACAATTAAAATGTTACAAAATACGGCACAGAGAAAAAACACAATTTGCAATAGCCAGTAATTACAGAGAATGAATGACTCCCACAAACTTGTAATAAATAGCGATGGTTAACTGCTGCTATATATGACTGAAATGAAATAAGTGTCTGTTCAAAAGTAGAGCAAGGATGGTTTATGTGCTTTGACAACAGTCATAAATCTGGACTATCTGAGAAGAATAAGTCGGGAGGAGTTCAGGAAGCTGGAGACTGTCTGTTAGGGAGGTGTACACACACTATGAAAAAAACACTGCAAAACAAGCACTGATAACAGCTACTCAGGACAAAACCTACAGAGAACGTGTGGAACAAACACACCATAACAAAGACACACTCTAACATTCTGTATGACTGTGGAAGCCTTAACTGCTACAATGACCTGGAGATTGTTCATTAAAAATGCAGTACAATAGAGTACACTCTTTGGGGCGATAGCATAGGAGAACCACTTTTGGTTCCCTAAAGAACCTTTCAATTGATAGTTTGATGAAAAAAAGTTTTTGTAAATGAGATGTATAAGTGTGAAGAACATTTTAAATGTTTAAAGACCGTCTACATAATAATAAAAGTTACAGGAGGTTATAAAAGGCTATAAAATAAAAATGATATGATTTAGCAATTGAACACTTTACTTGAACGCTGCTACATAACACTGACATAACCATGTTATGTCACTTGTCATACTCTTTGTTGTGGGTTGTCATGACAGATTTTGTTCAGTAATATAGCAGTGTCATGACAATCTATTGAAAAAAAGACAATAAATTTGTTAATCATGGTTATCTGGTGCTAGCTTTCTTAAAGCAAGTGGGAAATGGACTAGAACTTTCAGTTCTATTGGTTCCTGTTTGGGTCAGCTCTTGTTTTTGAATGTGCAGTGGAAAAACAAACATTATAACATTTGTCATTACTATTAACGGTAACATGACACTGTTATGTTGCTGGATGCAATCTGTTGTAAGAACTCATGACAGCATATGATATGTTCCATGACGTGTTTACAGCATTGTTGTGTCAATCGTCCAAGCCAAGAACCATTTAGGAACCTTTATTAACATACTAATATAAAGTAATGTAAAGTTAAGAAGTGGCAGTTTGTAAACCCAACTAAGTGTAACTGTACTTACCTAGTCTTCTTATTAGCAAAGTACATTAGCTTATTAGTGTGAGAATCAGCTTGGTCATTTCTACTTGAGTGTGGTGTTTGGCCTGTGATAGTAACAATGAACAAAACATTACTAGAACATTGCAAAACAAGCTCTGATAACAGCTGCTCAGGTCAAAACCTAAAGAGAACATGTGGGAGATCACACTGAGAGCCATGATCTACTTGGTTCAGCATTATTGTGACAGTCACTGGAGATAAGAGAGTCCTCAGTAAGACCTAGTTTGGAAAGCTGACACAATGTTCTTGTAAGTGAATGAATGATGTCAGTGTGAGTAGTCAGAGAAATTCTCTCTACTGTATGAGTCAGTCAGAAGACACCCAGTGCTGTCAGTGCTAACGTTACGCATGGTCATACTGTTGAGGGAGCCGCACTGCGTAATCAGCTGTTTAATCATTAGTAATCTCCACCCTCATTACTTGCTAAGACCATCCTGATGATTTGCTTCCTTTTGGTGGAGTCAAACCCCTTCCACACGTCTCACTCCAATACTACTGTAAGCATGTTTGGAGGCCATCAAGCCAGAAAACATGAACATAATATAAATTTAAAGAACTACCTTTGGTAGAAACTAACTATTGGGTTAGTCTAACTGGATAATAAACACTGAGAACATTGTGTGTTTTGTGAACTCTTACTGGGTGTTCAGTCTTGCTGCTGGAGACGTATTCTCCCACAGAGCTCCGTGCTCAGAGGTTCTTTCAGACTCTGTTATGTCTAATCCTGCAAATCAAGGTCTCAAGTGTTGAAGAAAGCACTGCAGGACAACAGCTCTCCAAATGCAGGCCAACAGGGCTTTTTATAAAATTTTCCTTTAGCTTTACACTGTAAATTTTGAGTCTAATGTTGCTAACAAGTAACAGAAGTGTATGGCCCCCAGTTAGCATTGTTTTAACCACAGCTGACCTACATCAACACACAGAAACCTACAACCAGGGATCTGTGTATTCTACCTTAGTGAGTGAAAACAGTGAGTTTGTGAAGAGTTACTCAGACCTGATAAATTCACTGAAATATGTCGAAGGTCTATGCAAGCATAACCTAAACCCCGAGCTTCTTGTTTATTGTTGATTTCCTGTGATGCTTTCTGTGTACTATAAATGTGCTCTGTACCATCTGCGACCTTGAGTTGAGATAGTCAATGGTTCTTCAATATGAGAATGTATAACATTAGAAAGAATTAAAAAGCTAATTTACTTTCAAAAATGCTTTTCTACTATTTGAATTTTTACATTTGGAATAACTATTTGAAAATTCTAACTCATCTCTACCTGTAGAGTTGTTAAGTAATATCAAACAATGTATGTAAAAAATGTAAAGAAGTGCGGTTGTAGTAACTTTCTGGAAGCTTGAATTTTGTTTATAGTAACTAAAAAAAAAAACTAAAAACATAAAACCCTAAAAATGGTTAGTTACTGGACTGCTTTAAAATTCTTTATCGTAGTGTATATATATATATGTATATATATATATATATATATATATATATTTTGTTACTATAAACAAAATTCAAGCTTCCAGAAAGTTACTACAACCACACTTCTTTACATTTTTTACATACATTGTTTGATATTACTTAACAACTCTACAGGTAGAGATGAGTTAGAATTTTATATATATATAGTTAGAATTTTTTTTATATATATATATATATATATATATATATAGTATATAACAGTGGTATAATAATAAGTTAACAGAACAAGAATCTATGTCTTAAGTTCTGTTGACTCACTATTTGAAGATCTTCTTGTATTGTTCTTTATCTGGTGTCAAAATTAATACTTTTGTTAATTTTATGAACCAAAACCAACAGTAAATAATTTTTACACAATCATTCTTCAACATTTCTTTATATCTAAGAATGAAACAGGCTGTTGTAGTTACACTGCCTTTAAGACTGATATACGTAAATATATGTAACTCTGTTCGGATTGGCTGCATGTACATGTAATTCAAAAAGCAGTCCAGCCTGAAACACTCCTTATAACTTCAGTGTGAGTGGGCGGAGCTAAATTACTGTAGGCTGAACAGGTGGTTACATGTAAATGCATTGGTTTTCATAACATTGCAAAAACATTTAATTCAAAACAGCCTTTTTGAACCCATGGTTTCCTTATTTTCCCTACACAGACTGTATCAAGGGAGAGAATTTTACATTTTCATGTAATTGTGTATATCAAACTCTTTTATTTAGTCAGTTTTTTATTTACAATATGGGCCATTTCACCAACTCAGTGTGGTTTGAGTGAAGTGCCGGCTGATTTAGACACAGAGTTTGCAGATGGCTTCCATTACTTGTTATCTACACTAACCTTGTAGCTCCAGTACAAAACTAAAGAAGCAAACTTCAGACACCCAACATGTTTTGGTTGCTAGAATACATCTCAAAGGGAAAATATAATTTTGTAGCAAATTTGATTTTGATCATTTAAGATGGTTCATTAGTACTGAAAGAGTGCACTGAAAAGTGTGGTGTCTTGTTATTAGATCAGCAGTTATGGAGAAAGGAAGTGAGGTGATCAGTGAGGTGACACACTGAGACACAGGTTTGGGGAACCCGTACCTGGCATAATCTCCAAATCAAACTCAGGCAGGAGATCATCAGCCATACTTGTCTGACCTGGAGATAGAGAGAGCAAGAGAGAGAAAGAGAGAGAGAGGGAGAGAAAGAGAGAGAGGAGAAGGAGGTGCAAGGTGACAGAAAGAGGAAAAAGTGGGTAAATCAGCAAAAGAGGTGCGGGACATGATTTGAGAAGAACTGTGGCAGATAGTGGTGGCTGGTGCATGCAGCAAAGATATTCTAGAGTGAAAGGAAGAATCAGATGATCCACCTGTAGAAGAAGCAGCAACACAGGGTGTTATTATACAAATTCAGCCTCTACATGCGTGACTGTGTTATTAAAGATTCTTAACAATAGGTGGTCTTGGGCAGTTTTGCTATCATGATATTTTCCAAATACATCACTGTTTTAGATGATATTTAAGCTTGCATTAATAAAGTTCTCAGTACTGGTCTGCAGATGAGCAACACAATGATATCATATCATTATCTTAGAGATGTTCACAGTCACTTAATGCGAGTCTGAGTCCAATCTCAAGTCTTTAGTAGAATTTTAGCTTAGTCTTGTTATCAGCTGCAGGCACTGCATGGTACAAAAGTAAGCCAGTACTAAATACCTGTCAGGTTCAACATGGATTCAAATAACAGACTTTTCATTACAGAAAAACCTTCAGTCTGAAGGACAGAACTGAACTGCTTTACATAGTAAATGCAGTGTTTAAAGGAAAGAGAAAAAACAACTTGAACGTGTAAAACAGGCTAGCTACTGTAACAGCTAATCAAGATTAAGTTTTAGTACATTTTAAAGGATTGGGATCTCTAACTTAGAGAAACTTGAGCTAGGTTAGCTGACAACTTCGGCTAAATCAGCTAGTGCGCTAGCTAGCATACTTACTGCATATTAGCTATCCAAACCACATGCAAGCCAGCCGTTTGAAGTTGTTCTGGCTTTTTCTATCTTTTGTTCTATCCATCAGACTGAAAGTTTTTCCTGTAATGAAGGGCGCATTATTTGAAGCCGTGTCAAACTTGATGTCGCTACGAACTGTGGGAGAACAGCAATGTGTTATGCTAATGACTGCGCGTGATGGTAACAAAACTGTAGCAAAAGTTGCACACATAAGGTTGGAAACGAAAGCTTTTATTGTTTACCACACTAAGGCTGGCACTCCTACTTAAGCCTGGAAATGTATAAGTCAGTCTCAAGTCTGCAGTCTCTAAATGTACACCAACAAGGTGGGGGTACAAGGTAGGGGTTTCTAATAAAGTGGCCTGACACTGTATCTCTCTCTCTCTCTCTTTCTCTCTCTCTCTGTCTCTCTCTCTCTCTCTCTGTCTGTCTCCCTCTCTCTCTCTCTGTCCTCCCCCATATCTATGTCTGTCCATTAGCTGAACATCAGCAGACGGGCCAAAACTCCCAGCTGGAGGAGGAAGAACGTTTTATATCAACATTGTGTGGAAAAGATGTGTGTGCAGAGAAAAGTAGGTTGCATGAGGCTGATGGATGTGAGGGATTCATAAGATTGTTGAGAGCTTAGCCAGTGTCTTCTAAACTGATCTGCTCAGTCAATGCAGAAAGAATAGGCCAACTCCAGCTCTAGAATTATTACTGTCATTTTCTTATACTATTTGAATGTAAGACAACTACCACCACATATTTAAAGCTCTGGTATGTAAGTTTTGGGGATTTGGAGACCTCTCTGGTGGGAATGTGTAATTGCACATTATGTGTGGAAGAATGTTGTGTTACGTGGGTAGTGTTACGTGGGTAGTGTTACGTGGGTAGTGTTACGGACCCCTTCCCATAGTGGATAAGTCTAATGATTGTGAGTGCGTTGAAAGAGAACTCAAAGAGAACATCTGAGGATGTAAGTGAATGATTTGCTATTGTCATAATATGTTCAGTCATCAGTATAATGCTGATTTTGCATTTGAGACCTAAATATTGAGCCGGACCTTCTCTTTGAGCCTGTGCATATTATGTTTACTTTCTCCTGACTCAGTAATGTCACTTCTTTCATTTTTAACAAAAAAATTCTTACATAAAGGAGCTGAATTACACAAAGAATTACACAGATTTGCACTGGATTTATATTCTGTCTATAGTCTGTTTCAAAATAAGGTTTGAGTCTGCACTGCTGACTTTTGTCCCATTTGGTTAGATGTCAATAAATGACAAATTACAAAAATGGCAAAAATAAAAAGCTGCAATATAAGACTGTGCACAACAATAACTGAGCTCCTTTTCAGGTTCCTGGCTGGCACAACCATCTAAGCGTTGGCCCTATTGTAGGGAGGTTATGAGTTAAATCCCTAGCAATGCCACAGCCATCCACGGCTGGGAGTCCAAGAGAGCACAACTGGCCTCTCTCTCTGGGTGGGTAGAATGGGCCTCCCTCTCCCCTCGTCACTCAGCACGATGATAACTAACGGAGGTGTCTGTTAGCTGACATAAAAGAATTGTTAGTTAGCGTTGTCCTCCAAGTTTGTTAGTTTGTTCAGTGATGATGCATTAGCAACAATTTGAAAACATGGTAGTGCTTCATGTGTTTTGGAGGAAGCTATGAGTCCTGCTGTCAGGACAGACTGCACTGCTGCTTTAACCAAAGCCACTTTAACAAAGTTCCAGCAGACAGACAGGAAAGGGACTTAGATGTAGCCTACAGCCAGAAAGGCTTAATTCAGCCAGAGCCTGGAATTTGCTCTCTATGCTTGGCACCAGGATATAATTCCTATTAGCTTGACTGCACAGTATGTGTAAGAAATCGCTGTTCTGACACAAAGCTGTGTACTTGTTCTCAAGAACTTTTGTAGCCCCCTTACCCTGCTGGCTCTGACACTTTTGAGGCTTTTGAGATTTTTTTCAGGCTAAAAGATGAAAAGAACTTCAGTTTGAATATGTACTGGTAGCTGGGGTGGGTTATTTATGATGATATTTTAACGTTATCGTGATATGTCGCATGTATGGCCATAGAACCCTGGCTAACTGACCGTTTGCACAAGTCTGACAAGCCCTGCCTCCCTTAGTTACTGTTGCTACATCTGTCAAACTTTCTACTCAGGCCGCCTCAGAGCATCTGTAGCGCCTGTGCCAAAACACAAGAACATTCAGTAGCACAAAGGAAAATATATAATAACACAGAGAAGTACATTTTAAAATATTATTTATTATTATTCAAAAATAAACTGCACAATGCAGACATACATGTTTAAGAATGGATAATCGGGGGTCAGGAGTTATGACGCTGCTGCAGTTATGAACTCTCGACAGTCATTTGGCACTAGCTGCAGAGAAAGGGTCCACCGCAGCTAACTTGCCTAATCTTCGCACAAACCGTGTATTCTCCATACGACTGCACCAAACCATAACATTCGTACCGGAACGAATCCACGTACTGTCACATCCCAAGTTGTTAGAGATCATTGTGATTGGCTGAGAGGCATGTCACTACTTATTTTGCCAACGGTCAAATGTATGCTGGATAAAAATGTAGATTTAAACTTTTAAACCCGCATAGTAACAATGAGGTAATGCTGTAGCATTCTGTCTGCTCCAACTAGTTAGCAAATCTCTTAAAGATGAAATGTTGTGATATGTATTATTATGTATCATGAAAATGTTTTCAAGTACTGCGATTTTACCTTGCTGCCATATAATCCAGCTCTTAGGTTGGCTAAAAAGTCAGTTGAAGATTGAAGTCATTTTAGTGGCGTACACACAAGCCTATTAAGCCATATAGTCTAAACAGTTTTACAGCGGTCTCATGCACACTGTCCAGTGGTCATTACCAAAAGCCATAATTGTCCAGCAAACATACTTTATCAGCTCATCTGTAGCCTCTCCCAGCTTTAATTGTCACAAAGGGATTACTCAAATGCAAGAAAGGGGCTTTACATAAACAAACCAATGCAGAAAGTCTGTCTTCTCGAAATAACCGAGATCCTGTGAAGGAATTAGAGCCTTTTAATATTCTACAATAACTGACATATATTATTTGGCTCAGTTATGGTTATGTGCTTTTTATGGGATCTGGGTGTGGTTTGTTTTATGTTTTTATTATAATAATAAATAAATTTATTATAATACTACAGTAATAGTATTATAGGTTATATATGTATATGTTGAAGATTCTGTGTTTTTTGTTATTTTTGTTAACTTTTTTGTAAAATCTAATTCAGGGTACTTTTATTAGGATATTTTGTTGTATATGTACAGATGAGTGACAAATTAAAGGAAACACCTGAGTGAGTGGAGAAACATAACGAGCGCAGATGCTGTCAGACTCCTGTACTGCATGACACAAATAAGCACTTAGCATCCTACCACTATACATCTGTGGTGTGTATAGAAATGCTGAACAGGCCCAGTTGACCTTGACTTTGACGGCGAGCGGAAAAAAAAAGATCTAAATGACTGAAAGAGGGTTCATTATTGGGGCACGAATGGCAAGAGCTTCTGTCACAGAGACTGATCAACAGGCTAGAGTTTCAATAGGAAGAGTGTCTAAAGTGACATCTGCACTTAGATCTGTGGGAAAGACATCAGTAAATAAGGCTGGCAATTGTGGTCAAAAGTGCACATTCAATGAATGTGATACTTGTGCATTAGAGCGAAATGTAAGTAAAACTAAAGAGTAACTGTCCCTCAGGTGACTGAGAACGTCAGTGCAGGACTTGATCAGACTGTCAGCAAATCCAAAACTACACAGAGAGGGATATTATAGGAGGGTTGCAGTGAATAAACCCATAGTAGTGCAAATCCCCAAGCACTGCTCTACAGCAGTGGTTTCCAACCCTGGTCCTGGAGAGTTTAGTTCTAGCCTGTATCCAAAAAGCTGCCCTGCCCTATACTTAACTCTAAAACATTTGATCTAGCCAATCAAGGATTTGGCAAGAGGTTGGTTAGTTGGAGCAGGTGTGTCAAATTGTGGTTGGAACTAGGCTCTGCAGGAAGGTAGCTCTCCAAGACCAGGATTGGAGACCACTGGTCTACAGAGATTTGAAAAAATGATTTTGTCAAATGAGTCATCCTTCATCATATTCTGTACAAGTGGCAGAAT